TTATATCATACTTTTTCAGTATGCCACCATTCTGGCCCCCAATAGGCATTTAAGAATTCAATTTTTATAGTAAATATTCAAGTTCCATTTGAGATGCTCTAACTTTGAGGGTTGAAATTCAACAGAGGATGCTTAAGGCATTTTATTTTACAAATGACTGTTTTGGCCTTATAAATGTGTTTTTAGAAATAATTTCAAGTTTATACTAGAGATTATATAATGAATATATGCTCACAAATGAAAAAATAACTTTATTCTAGTCAATAATACCCAACTAGTCCTATGCTTTGATTATTAAAACTTGTCTCCATTAGAAAAATAGAGGAATTGAGCCAATAATAAGTTCCCATCTCTTCTGACCTGGCTTTCGAGGGAACTAGAGCAATCAAAGAGACACTGCTGCTTCTGTTGTAAGCTTCACAGAGAAACACCAGAGTGAAAAACTTCTTGCTATGATGGACAGAACTTGGGAGAAGCATTAGAAAACTCCATGTCTTGATCCTCATCTGGGGCTGCCAGCAGCTCTTATTATATTACCACTACACCAAAGAAGACGCACAACCAAACCCTTTTTTCTCTCCTCTCCAAGAAGGCAAGATGGCACCATGCACAGCTGGCTATGGTCCAGGAGCACTTTGAGGAGGTTGATTGCTTTATAAGATCATGCCAAGATGTTGAAATCTTATTCAAAATATACTACTAGGGCTATAAAACAGAAGCTGCCAAGCTTCCAAATGTTACTGTCCCGGAAGATTTGCTCTCTGAGTGGTCTTGGTGGATGACAGTGGCTTGTGACCTATTCAATTTTAGACACCACTTAGGAATGACCAGAACTATACTAGGTTCATTTTACGCATGAGACACGTGGCTGCTTCTCTGTTCTCTTTCCTGGGCTTTGAATCTGAGACTATTTGAATCCTTCCAGTGTTATACTGCCTAATTACTTTACCAGAATAGAGCCTGACTCAAAGGACCCTTCTTTCCTTCCTCTACCATTCCTTCTAGAAACATTTGTCCGTAATCTTAAGAGTAGAGAATGGTATACCACCTCTGTCCTTAGATTCCATTTTCCACATGTTGCAATATTCATTCATTTTGCACAAATTCCCTGGAGTTTCCTGCCCATCTTTTTGTTATTTGGTGAACCTGGGGATATTCAGGAAAGCAACTGGGCCAAGCTGACTGTCTGAGTGTGGAGAGTATTTCTTCTTCATAGTGAGGTTGCAGGGTGTGTGTGTGTGCGCGCGCACGTGCGCATGAGTGTGCACACACATGTGCGTGCTTGCACACACACACACACACACACACCACTCTGGGGAAAGGTGAAGAGATGGATCCTCAGAACTGGTGAGGTAGAAGATAAGTAGCCTGTAGGCTCAGTGATCTGGGCTCAAGTCCTTCTGTATCTAACAGATTTTAACCACTATGGGTCTCAGTTTCCTTGTCTGTAAAGTATGGGCATGACATTGAGTAAGATTCCACTGTCTCTTGTATGTAGGTCCCTCTACATAGCCCATGAGCCCTTTGAAGGAAGACTATTATTTCTACATTTTTATAGTCAAGATGCCCAGGGCTGGGTCTGACACATAATTGCATGGTTAGGCATGAAAATGGCCATAAATAGCAGAAATGCAGTAACAGTGAAAGGCATGAAGTTGATTCCCCACTATCACAAGAAGACTACCACTGTGCTGAGGTTGGCCAACGTGCTCAACTTGAAAATTTCAAGGTGCTTTTTCTTCCCCTTTTAGTTTTTAAATTTTATTTTCCCGATGAGGGTTTTGAGGACCTAGTTCTTTTTCTTTCCCATCCTTCATCTAGTGCATGTTGGGCTTTCGCGCTCTCTTTCTTGTCAACTCATAGCCCAAGGTAGCTGCTGCATAGTCAGGTGCCAAGCCCACATTTGAGATGAGGAAGATAGAACTGGTAGCATCCACTTCTGTCTCTTTTCTTCTTTTTTTAAAAAGATTTATTTATTTTTATACAAGAACTGGGGTACAGGCCAGAGGCGCTGGAGGGTGAGAGGACTCACCAGAGACAGAGTGGGGAACAGAACAGGCAGATGGACTGAAATACACTGCTGAGGGGAGCAGCGGGCAAGGCAGAAGAGGTCCGTCGCGCCATGTGGGTATCTCCCTGGCCTGCCGGGAATCGAACCAGTGCTGCAGAGGCTGCAGACATCTTCACAGCATAGCACTCAATCCGCTGTGCCACCGGGGAGGCCCTCTTCATGACCTTCTGGCTCACACTTGTTGTCTTGACATTTGAACGGAAGGTGACATGTCAGAATGCAAAGGAAACTCGCCAGGATGTGGCGTGACCCTGCCTGCACCCTCTCCTCCTCCCTCTCTCCTCCTCGGGTTAATAATAACACGAATGGGAAAGTGCAAGTGAGTCTCTGCACAAACGCCTGGCACACAAAAGGCACTTAATTAATAGTAGCAGTTATTCTTCTATTACTTTTAATAAAGAGTGATGCTTCTCTTCCCCCTACCCCCCTTGCCAACAAAATCTTCCTTTCCCTCTATCATCCAGTGTGTTGGAACAAAAGGGAAAGACCCAATGTGGAGTCACACAGTTGCCTGACTCCACGCCACTCCCCGGGAGCCTCAGGGGACCCACAGGCAGGTAAGCCACACCTGAAGTGTTCTCCAGTGTGTCTGAAGGGCTCCGGTTGGGTGAACTGTCATCACACAGAAGCTGCCCTTTGAGGGAGGTAATCAGAAACACTAATTGTTGCTGTCAAAAGTTTTCTTTTTGGATAGCTGCTTTATTTCCTGGTGGAATTAATTCTATCAGTTTTCCTGCTGTAAACAGCAGGAAGCTGTTTACAACAGAGGTCACTGCTAACAAAAAATACAAAGTTCTCTAACAGAGATCTCGTCTACAGAGATAGGGGTACTTTCAAGTGTGTCTCAGAGTCTCAGAATGCTGCTGCCTCGCCGGGCTCATGTGATTTTTTTGACGTATACTATTCATTAACTGAAATAAAGGAATGAGAAGTCAGTAGTTCAGGGTTTGCTTGCAGACAGTCCCTGATGTTACAGAGATAACTCTGAGGTCTGGGTGTACCTATTATGGTGCGGCCTGAACCGAGAAGATGGCTTCTGCCTTAGAAGCCCGTGTTTCTCAGAGACGTGGTAAAGGATGAAATGTTTAACCAGATATTTCTGCTCTTTTTGAGGACGCTGATAGCGTCAGTGCCTGAGAAACACCATGGGCGGTCTTAATGGAGAACCCAGAAGAGTTAACTACTCCAGAAGTATTGTCAAAGGTCTTGTCATCAAGGGCCTCCCTGGTGGCGCAGGGGTTAAGTCTCAGAACAATGAAGCTCTTACCAGCCACTGCAGCATCAGTTAGATTCCCGACCGGGAAGCTACCCACATGGCGCAGCAGACCTCTCCTGTCTCGCCCGCTGCTCCCCTCAGCAGTGTATTTTAGTCAGTCTGCCTGTTCTGTTCCCCACTCTGTCTCTGGGGAATCCCCTCACCCCCACACCTCTGGCCTGTACCCCAGCTCTTGTATGCATAAATAAATAAATCTTAAAAAAAAAGAAAGAAAATTAGGTTATGCAAAAAAAGTGCCAGTAGTTACAAGTTTATGTAAATACCATGTCAAGAACACAATGAAAATAATTTTTTTTTATTTTTTTTTTTTTATAGAGGCATGCTTTATTTATTTGTTTGCTGGTTTCTTTGTTTGTTTTGTTTATACATGCACTGGGTACAGTCAGAAGCGCGGGAGGGCGAGAGAATTCACCAGAGCCAGAGCGGGGAGCAGAGCAGGCAGAAGGACCGAAGTACACTGCTGAGGGGAGCAGCGGGCGGCAGGAGAGGTCTGCGGCCATGTGGGACCCTCCTCTGGTGGCCAGGGAGCAGCCGGGGATCGAACCGGCGCCGCAGAGGCCGCGCGCAGCTTCGCAACCCAGCGCTCAACCGCTGCGCCACCGGGGAGGCCCGAAAATAATTTTTTTTTTAATTGGATGAAAGATTCACAATGAGAATCCAGAGGTCCAGATTTTGAACACAATCCCCCAGTGCCTGAGCTAGCCTGAGGGACTTGTCGAGCCCTGTCCCTCGCTCCCGGCTGCCTGCCCTGCTCTGTACTGGTTGGATCTGCTGACACTGCTGGTCCCTTCCCTAAGTACGAGCCCCCAGAGCGCAGAGGCCCCTGCACCCAACACAGCCCAGCCTATGTGAGCGGCTGCTGAAGGCAGGCAGGAGGACAGACAGGCAGGCAGGCAGGCAGGCAGGCTGCAGTTTCCCTCGGAGGCATTTCTGGAAAAGAAAGCTGCCTCTTTTTGGAAAGAGTTGCTGTGATTGAGAAAAGATCACGGCGACAAAGCAAGAAAGGGCACCGGGCAGGCGAGGATGGGGTAAGTTCCCGGCCCCTCCAGACCATGCATCCGCCTTTGCTTCAGCAGCAAAGCAACAAGAGCAATGACAACTATCTGTGAGTGTGACGACATGCCAGACACCGGCTTAGCATCTTCTCCCCACTTTGCAGCCGGTGCGGGCGAGGCAGAGGGAGCTGGTGCAGAAGCCCCCCCTTTCTGGGGGGGACACCGCTCGGGCCTGCACAGGCGGCCACCGCCCTGCAGCCTGTCCCCTCTCCAAGCACAGTGGTGGAGAAAAAAAATCATGTATTTTCAAGGTGCCCACATGCATCATAGAAGCATCCAGCAAAAATAAGTCAATAGCTGTGGAAATCAGGGGAGAGCAAAAGGCCTCCCAAGAAAGACAGCATTGTCCATCGCTCCAAACAGGCTATTTTCTGGCCACTTTTCACTCCCCTGCTGCGTGCTGAAGGTCACTGGCTGCGTCCACACAAACGGGTGCAGTCAGGAAATGAAATACTTAGCCAGGAAAGCCGGGCTGGGGCGGCGCGGGGGCGGGGCAGCGCCGGAGGAGGTGAGGCCATTGGGCCAGGGAGCCGGCTGTCCTGCCCAGGCCGGCCCCTTGGCCCTGATCCCCCACAGTGACCACTCCCCTGGGCTGGCCTCCTGGTGTGCCCTTAAACAGCCCAGAGGCAGGCAGCCTGAGTTCCTGCGACCCGCTGGGTGCCGCTCCCCACTTCTCACGAGGGAAAGTCTCTGGAAGGGCTGGACAGGTGGGTGCCAAGCTGAGGTTCACCTCATTCTTCCGAGTGTGTTCATTTAGGGTTCGCAAGCGGGTGGGGCTCTACACCTCTTCCTGGAAGCCTATTTGACTGACTTCTGGAGAGAGGAGCCGACTTAGGGACAGAGGCTCACTCTGTGCAGGGGACAGAGGGGTGGGGTAGAGACGAAGGCAATGCGATGAAAGTAATTGTTCTCCTTTGGACCCACAAATGGACAGCCCATGGGCCTTTAGGGCTAGAAGGGAGACCTTGTGAGGGAGGGGGCTGCCTGGCTGGGTGCGGCATGGCTGGTGGTGGGAAGGACGAGGGCAAGACTCCTGAGGGGGTAACTGAGACAGAAGGTCCTGGCCGGCTCAGCCCACAGCCAGCGCTCTTGCTAGGCGGGCACCGGGGGTTGGGAACCCCAGCAGCAACTGGAGGGCACTGCTTCCCAGATCCAGGCCCAGGAAGGTGGTCCAGGCGTGGCAACCTCTTTTATCCCCTTTGCTCCACCCCCCCCCCATAACCTTGTCCTCCCCTGCATATTGTGCACACAGTAGGTCCTCAAAATACTACTGGGTTCTTCACAGCTTAAGCCAGAAGGAAGGGCATGATGTAGGCTGGCCACGAGGGGTAGAAGGGAGAAGCTTAAGAAATGAGGGGTCCGGGCTTAGCAGGGGTAGAGGAAGAATTTTCTTTTAAAAGAGAAAAAGATCCTTAAAAGGTTAATTATTACGGAAGCAGTCTGGAAAAAGAAAGCAACCCACTCGCAACAATCAGGCTTTGCTGTCTGTTTTTAAAGAAGAGTTTTCCAAGGGCAGAGTCCTCCCGAGAGATAAGAATGCCCTCAGCAGGAGGGGGTCCAGCTGATGGGGAGCTTGAGGTTTGACAGGGGGAGCTTGAGGTTTGACAGGGAGTACCCCCCCCCCCCCCCCCCGCCCCAGCCTGCCTCCCCTCCCTGGGACTTCAGCACCGTGACTTTGCCCCAGGCTGTCAGTGGTGAATCTCTAGGCAGCACTTTCTGGGCTGCCCTTTCTGTTTCTTGGCACTGCTTTTCGGGGTCTTTCCTAGGTCTCCTCCTCTTCCCACAGCTTCCACAGCATCTCTCAGCTCATGGTCCTGGGATCTCAATCGGCTGTTTCTCTCCAATGGCCAAGAGCTGCCGTTTGCTGAGAACTTTGCAGGCATCAGATGCTGTGCTGAGCCCTTGGGACAAGACCTGTCCTCCTGGCACCTAAACCACACTTGGGCTTGGGGCAGACCACGTGCTTTCAAATCTTATCCTCTCCTATCACTTAATATCTCACCCTGGGCAAGACACTTGTCCCCTCAGTGCCTCAGTTTCCAGCTCTTTAGAATGGGGCTCACCGAACACCTACATGTAGGGTCCTTATGAGGCTCTGAGAATGAACACATGCCCAGTGCCTTTCACAGAGCTGGCACGTACGTTCCATAAATGCTACCAGTACAAGTCTAACGGAGTCAGTGAGCTTCGAAGGTGAGAATTCTTCTGTTTGCAGACGGGAAAGCGGGGGTGGCACTGCAGATGGGAAAGAGCGGGGCGGGAGCCCAGCGAGAATCTGAGGCCCAGGATTTACTCTTGTTACTCAGCAACAAGACAACAATGATATCTAATCTCTAGGGAATACATGACAGCCTCAGCCTTCAGGTCAAGGAGGTGAGGTTCAGATGCTTCCCCTCAGTGCACTAGATGGCCTTTCTGGCATGGTTCTGGAAAGAATAAATACTCAACCCTGGAGTTTGAAACTGCATCTGTGTTGGGGTTGGAGAAAACCCTTAAAAGTAGGGTTGGTCCCCAAAACAGTTCATGGAAGGCCACATGGGCAGACCTGAGAGGTGAAACTGGCATGGCATATAGTATCTCAATTAGCCTTCTCTGCAGTGTTGCGGGTTTTATTGCACAGGTAGCTAAAAGAGGGTCAGTGAGCTCCCCCATGATGCTGCAGTGAGTGTATGTTGGAATCAGGAGTTGAATGTGTGTGACACTAAAATCCCTGGCTGAGTCTCAGAATCTTTGGCGGAGCTTAAAACAAAAACAATTCATGCTTGAATTAGGATCTCTTGGGGTGAGGTTTGGACATCTGATTTTTAAGATGTGCAGCCAAAACAGAACCTCTCCAAGTTACTTGCCTCTTGCAAGTAAGCACCGCACCTCAGTTTCCACCGCCTGTCCAGGGTCCCCCTGGGCACACACTAGCATCTCCCCCTTGGCAGGCTCAGGCTGAATTCACCCTCACTCCCTTCTTCTGGCCCCTGGGGTCTGGTACCACCTTCCAATAACCCACACTGGAAGTTCAGTCATCCTCAAAGGCTCTGGGTCTTTCCCTCCTGCCTGCCCTACCCTAGTTGTCTCCCCAGCCCCCGCCTTGCTGTATCCTTGCCACCTCCATCTGGGTGAAAGCTTTGGTTTCTGGAAGGGGTTGCTGCAATGGCTTCCAAGCCCATCTCCCTCCCAGCCTCTGCTGCTCTCTGTCTCCATCTCTCCCATGTCCTCTGTGACCCCAGAGTCTAGCCCACACCCTTTTTTCTTGCCACACTTAATGAACTAAAAACCACCTCATCACCTCATCAATTTTCTTCTTAAAAAATTTCACCTGCTTTAGTTCCCTCAGCTAAAAGACATACTCCTCAGTGCAGTCAACCCAAGCCCTCCGTTCCTGGCTCCAATTTCCCTCTCAGGCCTCCACCCTTCCTGCCGGCACAGGTCCTGTTCTAGCCACAATGCGTTGTTCCTCCTCCCCAAACAAACTGCCCACTCACAACCACAGCCCATGTCACACTGGGCCTCCAGGCTGAAACAGGGGTCCTACTTGGCTTGGCTGTAAAACTCCTACTTGTCTTCTATGGCCCTTCTCAAAAGTCACCTCCTCAGGGAAGCCTTCCTGGAGTTCCCCAGGAACTTCCTCTGCCCTACTCAGGCACAAGTTCCCATCTTCAATCACAGGATGACTTTGGAATGATTTGATGGCATGTCTGTCCCCAGGGGACCCCTCATTCAACCATGACATTGTAAATGTCTCCAACCGCGGTAAATGTCTCCGACCGCTGGGTGAGGGACCAGGAGGTGGGGAGACTGCAGAATAAAACCAAGTTTCTGTCTGTAAGCCTTCAGAAGATGGCAGCAAAGAGCGGGTGGAGCACTTCAGAGAGCCGCACAAACCCAGAGGGCAGGGTCAGCAGGTCTTAAGCTTGCCTGTAAGGGAGGCTGCAGTGAATGGCAGACCTGAGGCAGAGAGTTGGGGGAGGGGCAGAGACCTGGGAGACTCCCGAGTCCCCCCCCCCATGTCTTTTGAGACCCCCCTTCTCACCTCCATGCTGGGAGAGAGGCCTTGAGGGGCTGGGGATCAGATCTGTGGCTCAGAAAGATCCCTGTGAGTTTCTCCAGAGGACCTTTACAAAGGCCCACCCCAGAGAGCCCGGGAGGCCTTCAGGGTGGCTGGAGTATTTCAGGACCCCTGAGGGTTCTTAAGAGTTTGGAGTGGATCCTCGAGGTTGGGGTGCCCTCAAGATAGAGGGCAGATGTTATACTGGTTGGAGACATCCGTGTGGAGGGGATTTGGGGGTGGTGGTGGCAGAGACCTCAGCCAGTTTGAGGGGTCCCCTGGGGACAGACATGCCATCAAATCATTCCAAAGTCATCCTGTGACTGAAGATGGGAACTTGTGCCTGAGTAGGGCAGAGGAAGTTGTCTCTGGCTGAGGGCTCCCCCCAGTCTCTGCCTCTCCCCCATCTCTCTGCCTCCTGTCGGCCACTGGCTGCAGCCTCCCTTCCAGGCATGCTTAAGACCTGCTGGCCCTGCCAGGGTCTGTGCCCGCTCTCTGAAGTGCTCCACCCCCTCTTGCTCCACCTTTACAAACACGGCACCTAACAGCTCCTGGAGAAACCCGGGCTTTCCAAAGAGGGGGTGCAGGGCCGCCAAGGGAGCCCCGGGAAGGAGCACTAGAGGGGAGGGGCGATCTTACCTGGCTGGGTTCCCAGAAGGTCCACGTTTCCAGTGACTAAGCCTCGCCCCGGCCCCGCTCCCCGGGGTGCCCGCAGGTGCCCGGCCATGCTGGCGCTGCTGTGTGCCTGGCTGCTCCTGGCGGCCGGCGCCGACGCCACCGGGACGGGTCCGGACGCGGCGGGGCTGAGCGCGCACACGCAGGAGCAGATCCGCGACATGCACGCCAAGGTGACGGCCATCTGGCAGGGGCTGCGGCTGCACCGCGCGGCGGGCCCGGGCTCCGAGGGCGCGCTCCACGCCGCCTGCCGGGTGCAGCCGTCCGCCTCGCTGCAGGCGCCGCAGCCGCGGGTGAGCGGCCTGGTGCTGCTCCGGCAGCCCGCGCCCGGCGCGCTGCTCGAGGCCTTCTTCGACCTGGAGGGCTTCCCGGCCGACAGCAACGCCAGCCGCGCCATCCACGTGCACGAGTTCGGGGAGCTGAGCCGGGGCTGCGAGGGCGCGGGGGCGCACTACAACCCCCTGGGCGTGCCGCACCCGCAGCACCCCGGCGACTTCGGCAACTTCGCCGTGCGCGCCGGCCGCGTCTGGAAGCACCGCGCGGGCCTGGCCGCGGCCCTCGACGGCCCGCACTCCATCATGGGCCGCGCGCTGGTGGTCCACGAGGGCCTGGACGACCTGGGCCGCGGCGGCAACCGGGCCAGCCTGGAGCACGGCAACGCGGGCCCGCGGCTCGCCTGCTGCGTGGTGAGCGCCTGCGGGCCCGAGCTCTGGGCGCGCCAGCTGCAGGAGCACGCGGAGCGCAAGAAGCTGCGGCGCATGGCCGGCGAGTGCAAGACCCCCTGAGGATGCCCGGCCCTGCGCGGGGGCCGCAGGGGTCCCCTGCACACCGACACCCCGCTCGGTCGTGCCATGGGACCCTCTACGCGCGCTGATACTCCTCCGTGGGCCTCGAGACCGCCCCCCGCCTTCTGCCTTAGGTGTCTCTCTCCACTCCCGGAGACACCCTCCACCTTGACGTCGCATCTGCCATGGCTGAGGTCTCCTCCCACCCCGCAAATCCCCTCCACACGGATGCCTCCAACCAGCATAACATCCGCCCTCCATCTTGAGGGCGCCGCAACCTCGAGGATCCACTCCAAACTCTAAGAACCCGCAGAGGTCCTGAGATACTCCGGCCACCCTGAAGGTCTCCTGGACTCTCTGAGGTCCCTTTCCATCCTGCTACTGCCTCACCCATCAGCCCTGACACATCGATACCGTGGGGACCCAACTCCCTCACCCCCTAGGTTCCTCCTAGGCTTCTGAGATTCGTTCTCAAGTCGCCAAGGGTCCTCTCTCCCCACCCACCGCCTGAGCCCTGCCAGCATCTTCAGCGGGCAGTCAGGCCCCTGCCCTCACCCCCCAAGTGTTCCCTGCCCATCACCTCCCTGGCAGAATGCTGCTCCTTTGGGAGCTGTTTGGCAATCTTGGTGTTGCACATTAAAAACTAAGCAATTCAGCACTGCATCCAGGCCTGGGTTACTCGTTTTTGTTTGTTTGAGACTTCTCTCCCCGGGAATGTCTATTTTTTTTGGCAATAGCAAAAATATTTTCTAAATCCCTGCAAGACTCGGCTTCTCCTCTTCCAAATCTGCCGGCCACAGAGATGCTCAGTCAATGCTTGTCCTGACCTCCAGTGTGGCATCCAACTTAGAAGGCACCAGGGTCACTCAGGGAAATGAGAAAAAAGCAGAAACAGCTTCCTGGGCCATGCCCCACAGCTGCGAAATCCACAGCGAGAGAAGGAAATCTGTTTGCAACAAGCTTCCTGGTGATGCTGATTCTGGAGCCACCGCCCGGCAGGAGGTGCTGCCAACTGCCCTGGGACCTGGGGCTTCTCACTGGGTCTGGAGATGCAGCCTGAGTGCATGGCCCAGAGATGGAGACAGGGTCAGGGAAGCGGTTGGCCTTGGTACCTAAGTCCTCAGCCTTCTCCAGCATTGCACGATGCCCTTGATCTTGCCTTCAGCATGACACAGGCAGTTGGAAGCAGAAGCAGGCTGACTGGATCAAGATTTCTTAGAGGGTCATCTTCCCTTTATCATAATGACGATGACAATCTGTGCACAGACTAGATCCATCTTGCATCTACACCTTCATGTATTGGATAAAAACAACCTCCTTGGATAGACCCACTTCCTAGCAGTTGCTTTTCTGCCCCAGTTACTTGGAGGCAACTTCCATTTCTCCCAGATTCCTAAGACCGTGAGTCAAACTGAAGCTCAGCCAGAAACACGTCCCCAGTGGTTATTTTTGCCTCTTACTAGGACTAACTTGTTATTTTAAAATCTTTGCTTTAACCCAAGTGACAACTGGAGAGAAAGGCTAGTTCCTGGTAACTTTGCTCCACCAACTGGTTCTCACTGGTTTGAAATATTACCTTGAACTCCACAGGTCAGCACTGAAAGGGAATTAGCAAGCAGAGTCTTTAAATATCCTGATCTCAAATAGATGTGTTTGCCTAGCCCCGCAATTAAAAGTTGTGAAAGCGAGGCAGCAATTACGCGGGAATGCACGATGAAGAGGAATAAAATGCCAAACACCCCAGCTTGGATCCTGCTGTCCAGATGATGGGTTAATTCAGGAGGATCGTGGAGGCCTGGACTTTTCTGAAGCAGGTCGGTGCTTCTCATCATTTCTTAGCCTTTCAGGCCTTGATCACAAAAGGTCTTCGGCTGGGTGGGTGGCTTATAAACACCAAAAATTTTCTTCTCACTGTTCTAGAGGCTGGAGGGCCAAGATTCCGGTGTGGTTAGAGCCAGCCCTCTTTGGGGTTCACAGCAGTAGCCTTTTCTCTGCATCCTCAGTGGTGGGAGGGGCTAGGGATCTTCCAGCCCGTCTTGTAAGTCACCAATCTTATTCAAGAGGGCAACCTCCATCATGACTCTGGGGTCCCCCCCAAAAGGCCTCACCTCCTACTTCCCTTTGTCTTTGGGGATTAGGGTTTCAACATATGAATGGGGGCAGGACACAAACATTCGTATCACAGCAGCCTCAGTTCTTAGTTTCTCTTCTCACTGCCCAGTCCCCCAGACACAAACGGACCCCAGTGGACCAATTCTATTTCCGTTCTGTCCTTTAGTCAGAATGCGATTGATAAGGAATTCCATGGTATCCAGAGCCCCAAACAAACAGTGGGAATTGTTGGAGGGCGTGTTACCGTTCACTGGAAGGACAAAGAACTTCATGTCACACGGGGGTTGACAACTCAGGCTCTGATGGAAGGGCTGTTTGGAGGGACACTTAGGAGCTGTGTAAGCTGAGCAAGTCACCTCACTTTTCTGGACCTGAGTTTTCTCACTTATAAAAGGAGAACATCACATTGAATTGTTGTGACAATGAAATCGAGTGTTATTCATGAGGCATATAGCATAGGAGCTTGTAAATGTCTAATAACAAAGGCTAATGTTGGAAAAATACCTGCTGATGAATTGGATTGCCTTGTAAGGTAGTGAGTATCCCATAGCTCGAAGGATGCAAATGAAGAGCAGTCACTGATTTTTGGGTTTGTAAGGATTTCTGCATCCGTTAAAAGGCTGAGTGAGATGAACTCTGATCCCAGTGCTTGAGGGGAAGGGATCTAAGATGAGGAAAGATTGTGGGTCACACAGCCTGGCATCTGCTTCTTGGCACAGAATCTCACATGTGCCGCCAATAGGAACCATTGGACCCACTTGGCCCCTGGAGTCTATTTTTACTCCTCTCATCTTACAGATCTATTTTGCTAATCTCCTTATATCTGCTGTTTTGACTTCCCAGCCAGCTTGCTAATCAGTTTGCCTATTTGACTCACAGGGTTTGCATTTGTCACTGAGACTTAAACATACACTTGTTTTGATTTCTTTTTGTAAAATTAGAAGCGTTTGATGTAATGACTCTACCTAGACACAGCTGGTAAAGTGAGAAGAATGCTCAAGTTTGCACAGTTTAAACACAATGTAGACAATAATTAGAAATGCTATCTTTAGATGTTTAGGATAAGCTTTTTCTCAGAATTGCAGTGCATTTTTTTCCGAGTGGGGCTTTTCAGTGCCTATGTATACAGAAATACTAAAAACATAAGAAAATAGAGCAAATCAGTGAGTGCTTTGGTCAACTTGAAAGAGTGCAGGAAATAAACCAACTGATTTTAGATCTGGCATTTTTGACTGAATGCATAAAATCTTTACATTCTCCATATTTTTCACGACTACCATATGAGCTAATAATTTTAGGTGACAGATTGCAACTGATAAGTCGCTGCACTGTGCTAGAAACCATGCTAAGCCTAGGCCCGGTGTGAGGTGAGGGCGGACAGGAAGAATGACGCAAGTAATAAGGATAGTTAATCACTTATATCAGGGAGATTACTGCATTTTTATTTCAGGTAACAAAAAAAGATATAGTTATGATACATGATGATTATAGAATCCAATAAAGCAAGGTCTGCACATGAATAGAAGTTACTCCTTTCTCTATATTAAACCACAAAATAGCAGCTGGTTTGCTTCTTATTTTTTTATAAGCCAATTGTTTTCAATTTAATAGGCTATCACTGGCCTTAGCTAAAATCCCAAAATGTATTCCTGGGCTCTCACACATTCCAGAAGGTCAAACTTGTCAGGACTATGCAAACTTTCCCTGTGCATCCGAACACACGCTCATTTAGTAAAGAGGTGAAGTGAAGTGTCAGGCAGTGCCTCTCCAGCTATCATTTTCAATTGCCTTCATGTGCTATCAACTTGCTTTGTTTTGTTTTCGTGAGCAACCGTAAGACCGAGATGGGGCCTTCCTATTTTCCCTGCTTCTCCTTTCTAATTAGATTCACTACTGAGCTCTCTATTGCATTTCTCTGATCCTCAAGTTTTTCTCTGTCCAGAAAGACAGCTGGAAAAAGGAATATGTTAAAGCAGTGACTTGAGGGGAAGCCTTTGCCATTTTGACATCCTGATGGAGCATGTGAAGTTAGCCTCACTACCACTAAGGAGGCAGACTGTTAAATGTAGAGGCTTCCAGAATGTAGGCAGGTTGCAGAGGGAGAAGGTGCTCAATTAGAGACCTTTTTTCAAAGAGAAAGTAGGGTCCCACACCATCCACAAGGCTAAGGAGCCTGGAGAGAGCCCCATTTTTCTGAGGAGCAGAAAACCAAGAGGGGCACAGACATGTCATTTCAAGTGAAGATCACCCCAAAGAGCAGATAGCTGTTCACTGAAAATCATTAGAGACTGAACCTTTTATGTCACATGGCAAATTGGGGTGCAAATGTTCCCGTTGAATAACACATCCAAAAGTGCACTCCACCACGTGAATGACTGAGGCCAGAACATCGTGATGGTGTTTGGGAGCCAGGGCTTATTTAAGATTGCCAACTGGGAGGAGGTTCCAGCAGGGATCCAGCTGAATGTCATCAGGGGCCTCCTCGCTACAGAGGCTTCTCGAGGAGCTGAGAGAAGGAAGCAGAAAGGGGGAGGAGAGAGGACTGTGGGTAGAGGAGGCATGGAAGAGGAGTTAGGGATGAGAAATGCCTGGCTTACAAAAACCAATCCATTTCCACAGGCCTTAATTAAAAGCACGACAAACACTCATATGTAAAAATCCACACCTAAAGGCTCCCAGGTACAGAGCGCTGACGAGAAATGCAGTGTGTGCAAACAAGCTTTCATTAAGAGACCTGTCAGCTCTGTTTCATTTATCCAGACTGTTCTGCCGTCTGCTGGCAACCGAGCTGGAAAAATAATGGAAGGACAGACACACTTGAGGAGTTAAGCAAGGTGGGAATGTTCCAGCTTCAAAACAGGACAGATGAGAAAGGAAGCAGGGGAGAGAAGCGAGGGACTTCTCTTAAACAAACAAACAAGCAACTGCCCTCCCCCCAACTCCAAAACTCATCAGTATTGCGATATTTTGGCTTTTTAAGGGAAAAAAGTAAAACAGAACAAAAATAGATATGTGGGGCTCAGATGTCACGCTGCTGACCTGGTCAAATGTAGGCCCAACTCCCCACTTCTCAAGCCCTGATTTTGTTCAGGTATTCATTCACCTGTCAGAGTCCACATGTCCAGGTACAGATCCTTTCCCAGTTTAGAGGACAATCTTGATGAGTTTAGAGCCATCGCAGTAATTTCCAGGGATTAGTTTAGATAGAGGCACAGTCATTGCCACGGATTGAATATAGGCATGTGGCAATTCTGGTCAATGTAATGTCACGAGAATTGGTTTTCTTGCTCTTAAAACATACACGCACACATACACACATGTGCACACGGAGAAACTTCCTTTGGACACAGTGTGAGAACAGGCGATGTGTGGAGTTGTTGCAGCCACCTTGTTAGCATGAGGGAGAAGCTGACACGGATGCAGGTGGAGCAGGAAGACAGAAACCCAGATCCTTGATAATGTTCCCGAATGAACCAGCCCTGCAATGCCCTACTTCTGAAATCCTTGTAATGCAATACATTTCCCGACTGCTTGTTTCTTAAAGTGTGAATGGCAGCCCAGGGTACCTTAAAGGTGCAGCATTGTCTGATGGCGTAGGGGAGAATGCAACATGTTTTCACAGTCATAATCAGAAAGACTAGAGACAACCGTAAGTACTGAGTGAAACTCTTTAATGACAGAAGAACCGTGTTGGGTTGGGACAGCAAAGTGGGACAGTGTCACGTGTGTCTGGGGCATTGTCAAGGCTGCACACGTGACAGGACCAACACATTGGCTCCAAATGCATCTATTCACACCACCCCCAACCCCCGCCAGGCTGACTGCTGATGAGTTTTGGTCATGACTCCCTAAGACACGCACACCCTACCCTGAACCCTCACTCTCTGGGACTCACGGCAGTTCCCCTGCCCAGGCAGAGTTTATGAAATCCCTGCTTTCCAGAAGGTGACGAATGAGCCCTAAAGATGTGCACCTGGCCGACTGTGTGTCAAAACCCGAGCTTCGGCCGGGAGAGCTTTTCCTTTTTATTATTATTGTATTAAATCTGGCTGTGTTTGCCTTTGGTGGCTCTGGCGTCCTATGCAGTGGTGCTGAACATTTGCAGACAGTTAAGGCTTCATGCAACAGGAAAATTATTTCTGTGGCTGCTGGCCTGTGAGAGGTCTGCAGCTGCAGAAGCAGCCTCCCGGGAGGGGGAGTGAGGCTGGCATCTGGGGCGGGGCTGGGACACTGTGGGATGATGGGGCTTTGAAGCCTGCTGGGCAGGGGAGGATGGTGTGGCCAGCTCACTGGGCCAACAGAGTACTGATCCCCATTTCACTTTGGGGGTGAGCTCTGGTGAGCAGGAAGAAAGCAGCTGGAGATCCAGACAGGGTGCACCTGGCGAAGGGCTGGACATTCTAGTGCAACTGCATCCTTCAAAGAAAGACAGAAAATCTGATGGTGCTACTACTCAGCCCACAGAGTGATTCCGGAGGTCAAATGTGACTACAAGTGTCAAGGGGCGCTGGCCAGACTCGGGCAGGTTTGACACCTGGGATCACAAGCCCTGTAAAGACAGGTGATTTTTAGGATGAAGTTTCCACCCCTCCCACCTCAGGTGCTTCTCTTTTTCTGGAGGGAGAAGGTCTCAAAGGAGTGATTCTGGTTTTGAAGGGCAATTTGAGCTCTGGGATCTGGTAGCAGGCTTTCCTGGGGAAACGAACTGGGTTCAACCGAAAAAAAAAAAGTCTATTGTTTGATGCTGCCTTAAGAAGCTAATTTTATCCCAAAGGAAAGAACAGGTAGGGCTGACCACTCCCTCCCCCGGGGCTGCTCTGGGTGCCAGGGCAGCCTGACAGGCTATTATAAAGCTATTTTGTCTTCCTCTCTTTCACTACCGGGCCATAAGCTCTGGGTCTTCTCTTTAAGAACCCAGGATCTGCTGGCCCCGGGGAGGCAGCCTGAAGAATCTGCTGGAGGAACCCGGGGCTCGATGTTTCAGGAAACTGGATTGGTCCCAAGCAGCTCTCGCTTGCCCCTACCCCAATTGTCCATAGAAGGTTCTATGCAGCACAGGATGCATGGAGAGAACCAGCATTTCTAGGTTCTAGCTCTCATCTCATCTAAGAAACAAAAAATCAACACACCAAGAGGCTCCTCTTCCTCCCCCCATCACTCCAGATCAATTAATCCTCCAGAATTACAGGCTGGAAAACTCAGCTCTAGCAGTCAGCAAACACGTCTCAACAGGGGCTGTGGATTTCAAACCGGAAGCCCAACCTTCTGAGCCCACTTAAGGCCCTCTCCACCTGCCAGTTGGTGCCACGACAGCGGAGCGGGCAGGATGCCAAGAATACCCGTGCTGGGAGGGTCTCCTGGGCTCTGACATGATGAAGTAGAGCCGTGGGCCCTCTGGAACCCATTAGGCTCAATTACACCTTTCTCTCCAGCCACCTCGCCATGACAAAGACAGGACCTGATTAAAAACCCATCCGTTTCAAGCTCTTCCCATAATTTTGATCGACAACATTAAACACTAATAGAAAAACATCTTATCTCTAATAAAACAAATGCTGACAGAAAGACGAATGCCGACAAGCAGCCATATGGCCGACATGATTCCATGCCTGGCCATGCTCACAGCAGCGTGTCTTCGGCAGAAAGAGATGACACTGAGAAGCTCGAGGACCCGCATTTAATAAATCAAACTGTGCTGGCATCATCAGAATGGTCACAGTTTGCAACAGGATCCATGTTTTTTCTCACTTCCAGATTTGGAGGTGTTAGTTCCAGGAGAAAGTGGCTTGGGCAAGCTGTTCCGATTCCTCCTCCTTTACTGTCCCCCAAGTGGTCAGCGTGTCATCAGGCCCGCTCTCTTGCACCCCTCAAGTTTTCACAGTGCTCCCTCCACCCTCTAGGGTTTCCTGGCCATCTTGCAGGGTGGAAACTTCAGCTGCTGGCTGGCTGGACTCCAAGGGGTCCTGGCAGGATTTGGGGGGTCCTCCCTTGGAGGCCAGGCCCGGTGGGGGGCATCCCATCTTGCTCCTCTCACTGTCCACCAGATTCTCTCTCCTGACTCCTTCTGATTCTGCAACTGCCTGTTCCTCTGTCAGTTTCATTATTTCCCTTCCAAGCCTGTTTACTTCTTGTTCCTCAGAAGGTAGCTGGGGTAATGAAGGATGAACGTGCTTGCCTTGGTTCTGATTTGCTAGCAAGTTGACAGCAGGCCTCCCGGCATCCTCCGGCGCTGTCAACGCCTCGGCTGTGGCACCACTTTCATCTTCTTGCTTCTGAACCTCCCCTGAAACAGGAGGACAGCATCAGACCCCTGCCGGACGTCAGGCCCCATCCCTGCTCCTCCCCACGGTGCCTTCCAGGCCTCTGACATAGAAAAGGCTGCTGCAGGGGAACACAGGACCCACATTTAAAAAGGAAGCAGCCACTCTGGTTTCATGATGGGGGCAAAGAAGCACTTGGCCACGTTCACAGCCCATCCTTCCCAGACACCCAGGTCTCCCTGCTCCACTCTAGTGACAGCTCCTTGTGCCCATGAAATATTTAAATTAAGGACAATGGCTTTGCAGGTTCTGTAGCTCAGGGAAGACCTGGGGCTCTTTAGTAATACAAGGAGGTTCTGGCTGCCTTCAGACAGAGAAAGGTGGGGGTTAGTGTCTACTACCCCACGGGCCTCTTCCAACTCTCCGTCAGCACCTCAATCTTTGAAGCAGGGGAGCAGGCTGCTGCTGTTCTATTTCAATAAAACATGTGCAAAGGCAGCCTCAAGTTCCCCCTCTCCCACTAAATTATGTCCCCAGGCCCTTTCCCTACATGACAGAAATTCTAGAGCTGAAACTGAAGGGAGGGGGGCGGTGCCCATTCTCATACTCTCTGGCTTGTGATCAGGACAACCTGTGTGGCCTCTGTTTCTCATGCAAAACGAGGGGCAGGGTTCTCAAGTCCCTTCTAGACCAAATGCACAATTATGGCCTGCAGGACTGGGAGTAGCTTGGGGAGGGAGCTCTTAGCTCCCTGACATGTGCATCCAACACCTGACGTTCCAGACTGCTGTGGCCTCAGCAGTGGTAGAAAGCAGGGAAAGCCTTCCCTGGGTGGAGGCTGCAGGGGTGAGGGCTCTAGGGAATGCTTCCTGGTCTACCCCCACCCCTGCAACCATGGGACCCCACTCCAAATGAGTGATGTCATATCCCTGGCTCAGTCACATGGGGATATGCTTTCAGGCTGACGGGGAGCTGGCAGAATTGCAGGAAGGATGGAAAGGAAGTTGACCTGTGCCGAGCATGCCCTTTTCATGCTTAAAACCTTGCGCCAGAGCTTTATCACTTGTAGGCTTGTAGGATAAATTTCAATTCTTCCCTGGGTCCTTCCTGATCTACTCCTGCCGCACCAGGCAGCCTCCTTCTCCATGGTTCTGGCACAGAGTCATGTCCTCTGACTGATCCAGGGTGCCTTTAGGTCTTGCATGGACCATACAGTTTCCCCCTAGCAAATCACGCAAGGCAATGCTTATTAGGCACTCTGCTGCACTAGGCTCAGGGCTCAGCATTTTAAATGTACTTTATTCTACAATGTCCAACCAGGAGAGCACGGGATGGGAGCCGGGGGTCCTCACTGGACTTGTTCACACTGCTCAGCACACACTAAGCATTCAAGAATGTACCAAAAATAGTTGCTCACTTTTCCTTTTTAATGGAATAATAACACACATCAAAGAGTGCACAACCTATGTCTACAGCAAGATGAGTTTTCAAGCTTCTCAAATAACCAGCAGGCATCAAAACAAACAGCAGGCAGGACAAGAACGAGAGATTAGCAAGCCTCTACCAACACAGTCTAATCTACTGCTCAGTCTAGTCCCTTTGCCCCCTGCCCCCTTTCTAGTGACTTCTCTTCCACTAGGGGTGACTGTGATCTTCTGAAGACACCAAATGACTTTGCCTGGCCTTTATGCTTCATTTACCAGAATCATACTTATATGTGGGTTTCTATCTGGTCCCTTTTGATCCATGTTGTGTGTGAGACTGATGCATGTTATTGTGTGTGGAAATGGTTCATTTGAATGAACTATCATTTTCAACATATATTCAGGTATGCCATGAAAACAGGCAATTCACAGAATAAGAAGTATTAATGGAGAGCAAACACATGAGACAATTCATGCCATCACTCATAATTAAAAAATCTAAATGGCGAAGAGATGCAATTTTCATCTACTGGTCTACTGCATAAGAGGACTGATAAAGCTCAGAGTCACTAGGATGAGGGGAAACAGGTAATCAGACAGTAAAAAGAATAAAAATCAGTAAAACTCTTTGGTAGGGTATTTGGGTAATATCTATTGCAATCCTAAATGTGTTTACCGTTTGGTCCAGTAATTCCATTACTAGAAACCATCTATGACTGTCAGCCCAAATATTTCAAGACCTGCTACCTAGACCTGCTTTTAATAGCAGAAATCTGGATAGAATTGGAGTGTCCACAGACAGGGGATTCTGGATATACTAGCTAAGTTATACAGTGTTTTTGGTGCTATACACTAAGAATTGTAGGTTGCCTTTGGACTCAGAGCAGAAGCAAAGGTGGAAGGAGGTTTTACATTCAACTTTATACCTTTCTGTTTAAAATTTCAAAAAGGGGTTTGTACTATGTGTTAATTAAAAAACAACATGAAATCTACAAAATTTTGCCACCCATTATCATTTTTTCTTTCCCTTTCTGCACTAACTTGTAGATCTTGTAAGCCCACTTGTAAGCCCACTGCTTCATTTCCCAGTGCTGAGTCACTCCTGAGTTCCTTCCATCTGCCTTGCACCCTCCCACTCCGAGCTCTGTGCCACCAGGCCCAGTGTTCTTTTCTCAGTCCCCACCTCTGTCTCTTCTGAAGCATGTGTTTCCATTGGCCACATCCTTCTGTCAAGCTGTCTCTCCCTCTGGTTCCCAGAACACAACCACATTCTTAACTGTTTCTCCTCTAAACTAGCTCCATGAATATACTGTATTTGTTTTCTATAGGTGCTGTAAGAAGTTTAGTGATTTAAAAGAAAACAGATTATTCTCTTATAGTTTTGGAGGTTGAAAATCCAAAATGGGAGCCACTAGGCCAAAACCAAGGTCACGCTGCCTTGGAGGCTCTGGAGAGAATCTGTTCCTTGCCTCTGCCAGCTTCTGGCAGCTGATGGCAATCCTTGGCTTATGGCTGCATCCCTCCAATATCTGCCTCTGAGCTCTTCCGTGTGTGCCAAATTTCCTCTTCCTCTCCCTTGTACGGATACAAGTGAAGGATACAACACAACACAGCTGGACAGGCTGGCATCATCTCTCCATTTCAAAATTAGTAAATCAATCACATCTGCAAAGTCCCTTTGCTATATAAGGTCAAATTTACATGTTCCAGGATTTAGGACCTGAAATAAATGCTGGGGGCCAACATTCTCTTCATCCTGACATCTCCTTTTGACACCCCCAACAATCTGCCATCATTTCTCTTCATTCATTCTCACCATTGACCACCTCATGCCCTGACCTCCTGCCCAGGAGCACAGTTCTCGAATCTGTACCATGGCTCTGATTCCTTCTTGTTGACATACAAACCCAGGTTTGCAGCTTCCAGTTGGATCCTGACCCAGATGATCTGGTACTTTCCTGAAAACAAAACTCTCTCTCAAATAGACCGGTTTGCCACCTCAGTGGAGTCCATCATTAAGTGGCTATTTTCTTTGCATGCCCACTGACTGCCGAGTACTACTATGTCCCCTGGTGCTGTCGACTAAATGTTTGGGCCCCTGCATAAGCATGTGTTGAAGCCCTAATCCTCAATATGATATTTGGAGATGGGCCCTTTGGGAGGCAATTAGGGTTAGATGGGGTCATTAGACTGATGTCCCCATGATGGGATTAGTGTCCTTATAAGAAGAGAAGAGAAATCAGTTTTCTCTCTGCTGTTTAAGGATACAGCAAGAAGGTGGCTGTCTGCAAGAGGAAGGGGGCTCTAGCCAAATACTGAATCTGCCAATACCTAGCTCCTGGACTTCCCAACCTCCACAGCTATAAGAAATAAGGATTTGCTGTTTAAATCATCTAATTTATGGCATTTTGTTATAGTAGCCTGAGCTGACAAAAATACTTAGAAATCTTGCATTTGCCCACTCTTCTCCCTCCCCAGAACAGACCCTCACCAATCATGGTCTGAAGTTCTAAGACCTCGCTCTATAAATCACCTAGATGTATTTCCCCAAAGCTGCATGGGGCTTTTATACCACCACCTCAGCCAATGAGCAGGTAAGCATTCAGAAAGCCAGCGTAAGCCAGTCCTGGTGTTTCATACACCCAAACTCTGGCAAGTGACAGGTATGGGGTGGCTGTAAGAATTACAAGAATGGGAGAGGATTAATCATGATTTAGAAAGATCTTGGAATTAAAAACACATAAATCTAAGTAGATATAATCTAAAAAATCAATATAATCTAAGAAATTTGAATTAGACTCCAGTTTAGAGTTTCCGCAACAGGTAACATTGTTATTATGTACATGAACCACTTTGATACAAGGCATAAAGCTACTACAAAGATAGTAAGGTCTTTTTTTTTTTAAAAAAAGATTTATTTATTTATTTATTTATTTATACAAGCACTGGGTACAGCCAGAAGTGCAGGAGGGTGAGAGAATTCACCAGAGCCAGAGTGGGGAACAGAACAGGCAGACTGACGAAATACACTGCTGAGGGGAGCAGTGGGTGGCAGGAGAGGTCTGCGCGTTTTGTGGGACTCTCGCCTGGTGGCTGGGGATCGAACCGGTGCTGCAGAAGCTGTGGGCAGCTTTGCAACCCAGCGCTCAACCGCTGCGCCATCAGAGGAGGCTCAAAGATAGCAAGGTCTTTAGGCATTTATTCATTTAACTAAACAACTTGCATAGAGTTTTGAGCATTTATTTAGCCAGTCAAGTTTTTAAGTTTTAAGAAACCTGAAAATGGGGGCCTCTCTGGTGGCGCAAGGGGTTGAGTCTCAGCACTCTGAAGCTATCCACAGTCACTGCAGCAAGAGTTCGATTCCTGGAGGCCAGGTTGCTGACCCACATGGCGTAGCAGCCCTCTCCTGGCTCGCCTCCTGCTCCCTTCAGCAGTGTATTTCAGTAGATCTGCCACCTGGTCTGCTCCTCACTCTGTCTCTGGTGAATCCTCTCACCCCCTGCACCTCTGGCCCACACCCCAGTTTTTGTATACATATTTTAAAAAAATTAAAAAAAAAAAAAAGGAAACCTGAAAATGGCTGGACCTAGTAAACACCCCAAGGGACTCTAGAAGAAATGAAATATTAGGAAGTTCAGATGGATCATAACATGGAAGTGAAACTATAAGTATCCCCATTTTACAACGGTTCAACTCAGGATCTTTCAACTTCATGATGGTGCAAAAGCCGTACCTATTTAGAAGCACCCATACTCTGAATTTTGAGTTTTGGGCTATTTCCGAGCCAGCTATTTGCAGTAAGATACTCTCCTGGGGTGCTGGGCAGCAAGCCCCAGCTCCCGCTGCCAGCCAGCCACGCCGGCATGAGGCTGAGGAGCCCACTCCATGGTGTCCACGTGCCTGCATGTTTGACTTAAGCTATTTTCGATGACAGGCTTATTGGGACTGTAACCGAATCATAAATCAAGGAAGTTCTGTGCTAAGATGCTGGCGGGAGGAACACAATGCGGGAAGGGAAAATGACTATAGACAGTGCTGGGTGTAACTGCTAACAGCCTGGAATCACCGGGAAGAGGGCTGAGGATCTCACCAAGCGTGGAAGACCTTGGCCATGAACCACACCTTCTCCCCACCCTCTCATTCCACTACAAATTTGCTTCTCATATGAAAAAGAAATGTTTTCTCTAGCTTTAGCCTTTTTGATATCCACAGATGAAATCCCAGGGACAGGAGTTCAGCCAGATCTACTTTATAGTCTCTCAAGACTGTATTTAGTCATGGACAACTATGTATTACTCTCCGAAGAGCTCATTGACCTCACTAAGTATCGCACCTGAAAATGAGACCATTACTTGTACTTACAATGGAAATCATGAATGTATAAATGCGTGACTAACATAAGCCTTGATTTTTCAAAGAATAACTATTCAGATCTGTTCAGCCAGGACAATGTATGTTAGTTCCCAGGTCCTTGCTTCTAGTCTCCTCTTGCTCTACTCCAACCTGTCGGGAGAGTGCCCTTCCCTAAAGTTTTGCTACTCAAAGTGGGGTCCATGCACCGGCCCTCAGGGCACAGCCTGGGAGCCGTTAGATATGCAGATACCACCCCATTCAGATGCACTAGCCCAGAATCTGTGTTTCAATTTGGGTGCATGTTACTGTTTAAGAAATACTGCAAGTTTGAAACACAAAGGAGACACGGACTATAAAACCTTCAAAGGCTGCCACTGTCTGGGGAAGAAAGCCCAGTGTGACACTCAAGGCCTCCAGTGACCTTTCTAGCGACTCTTCTCTTTCTCTGTCTACTACAGGCACATGGAGCCTTTTCTCTATCTACAGGCACATGGAGCCCTTCAGGGTGGCCCCGCCCCTTGTGTCTGTGTTTAGGGGCTTAATTACACCATAATCATCATCCCTTCATGATCCACATAACCAACCGCAAGAGTCAGCTCCACCTCCTCCAGGAAGCCAGTGTGATTAATCTTCCAGTGCACCAATTCCCGCAAGGCTGTATCTGGACCTCTACGGAAACTTAGTGGGTTTTAGTTTTTTACCCTTAAATTGTTACTTATATATAGTTAGCTTATAAAAACCACCTGAAGTATAAAATCTTACCTGATTCATTTTTTTGCCTTGCCAATGTTATATAGTGGGAGCTCAGTAAAAAGCTTATTAAATGTTTGACTCTATAGACATATACATGAATACATGAATAAATGAATATATTAGCACATATATTTAAATACCATGCATTAATAAATAAAAGCAATCCTTGAATTTATGATATTAGCTTCAGGTTGCTAGCCTAGAAGTTCTTGAAATGACACATTCAGAAAACAAGAGATTTCTGACTTGCACAAACATTTAGCTACATCCACAGCAGCTCTGGAAAGCAATCACATAATTTCCATACTAACAAATGAAAATTTTTATAGTGGCTGTACAGGGGACATAGGAAACACTGAGTGAAAATGAGCACATTCCCATCAAAGTGCGAGGCGCTTTATTCAAAAGCAGTAAATCATCCTCTTTTCTGCAGCTAAATTTTTGCCAATGTGAGATGAATAAACTCCTCCTGGAAATTACTCTTATGAAATTACTTCTTCCAGGACACTTAATAGTATATTCTGGTATCCCTGAAAAATTAATTAACCTTATCCATAACAACCTAACCCCTAAACCATTTGCGGTGTTGTTACTGTAGGTCAGGTTAATCTTCTCTACCGTAATTTACATGGAAGCGAGGGTGGTCTAAATTATACTGGGTCTTTCGGTCACCAGGATTTGCCTTGTGCCATTTCTGCAGATGACATGAATCTGCAGATGCAGATGCATGAATCTTTTTGAAAATGGCAAACCTCTGAGATCACCAAGGAGGGCTTTGAAACTCTTTGGGGGCGGGGCGGAGAGCAACACCGCTGTCATCATTTCAGCGTCGCTTGGCGATGGGGGTGCTGTCTAAGAAATGCGTCATTAGGCGATGCTGCCCTGTGTGCCTGTCACGAGAGCCCTTCCACGTGCAGCCGTGGACCAGCCCCTGCACACCGCGGCGCACACCTACCCAGCCTACACGCGGCGCTGCGGCCGCCAAATGCCCCTATGTGGGCCATGACTGGAAATTCAAAATACAGCTTCTGGAAGGGGTTGGGCGAGGCTATGATTCTATTGTCTAGTCCTAGTGGGGGCATTTCTGAGAAAAGCTAGGTTTTCAGAGCCTCGCAGCCAGAAAGACACAGAGGGGCAGAGTCAGGATTGGGTTATCATAGTGGGTTTACCAGTTTTCCTTTTGTTTATCCAAAAGATCTCTAAAATGTGTACTCGTGTTATTATCAGGAGTCAAAAATTACTGAAAATGCCTTAACTGCTGAACTAGAATTAGGACCTCTGGTTACTTGCTGTGGAAGTAAAATCTTCCTGTAACCCTGTGTTTGAGGAACATTAACTCTTCAATGGCAGGAATTTGATTTTCCCTTTGAGAAGAGGCACATGACATGGTTGTTTCCATAAAGGGAAGATTTTTGAAGTAGCCAAGAGTCGGAAAACATTTTTACAAATAATAGTCATTATTCTGTCCTGTTTTAACACACAGAATTAGTATCATTAATACTCATTATTAATAACAATGCACATATCAAAACCGAGTCAGTCAGTGGATTCAAATGCATGATGACACAAACAGTGTGGAAAGAAAAGATATTTCCCTCTAAAGATGAAGAAACAGCAGCTCTTTGTAGTAAAGGTGATTAGCCCCCTAAAAATGCCACCACCACCCCCACCCCAGCCCAAAGGGGACATATGTCTTCTTTTGTTAACTGGCCTCTGATGGGCTTTGTCCTCCCGAGTGTGAGCTGCTTTCAGTTGGAATTAATCAGAGAGGCAGCAGTGATGAGGCCATCGCAGACGCTGACAGCCACGGCGTAAATGCTTCCTTATTCCCACCCGCTCCGGCAAAGGACGGGGCTGGAACAATGAGAGCTAATGATGGAACTCTGGAAGCTATCATTTTGAATCAGGCCATTACTTATGCCACACTTGTGAAAATCAAGCCAGGCTCATGCTCCCTTTCTGTTTATCAGGCCCAGTTTCACCCGCGGGCTCAGCAGGTCCCGAGCAGACAGAGGGCTGCAGAGGCCCTGTGGACACTGTGTATCCATCTGGGATGACCACCATGTTCCAGGCAGCAGAGTGACTGTGGTCTGTCATGGGCCAGCCTTGCCAATGGTCACATTTTGCTGGCTGGAAAGACCTAGCTGTGGAGTCCACCTGCATCAGGGGGTCCTCTCCAGGAATTCCCCTGGCACAAGTTTGGGGAACCTCTCTGTTGAAATATCAGACCTGTCCTGGCTTCCATTCTTACATTCCATGCTCTGGAGAATGTGAATAGCATTTTGGGCTGCTTGAGTATCCTCATGACATGGCAGCCAGCTTCCTCCAGAGGGAATGCTCCGAGACAACAATGACAAGCATCCATCCCATGCCTTTTATGACCTGTCACTCCTGCTGGATTTTATTAGTCACACAGACCAACCCTGCGGAGTTGTGGGGAGGATGAAACAAGGGCATCAATACCAGGAGGTGGGGATCATTGGGTGCCATCTTGGAAGTTGGCAACCACAAGGAAAACTTTATTTGGGGGGAAAAAAGACTGCTACTTGGGAAGAGATATGGCTTTCACACCTGCTACCTTATCAGGCACCCTAAATGGGCCTTCAATCTCCTTCAAAACATCCTGCTTTCAGAAAGTGTGCCTGGTAGAGGAGAAACTATTTTTTCCCCATACAACTGATTCCCAAACCACTTATATGCCAAGATTTTCCTGGCACCATCATCTCATCATTTTATAGTGAGGAAACTGAGGCTGAAGTAACTAGTCCACGTTCTCCTCTGTCCTCTGTCAAGGAGGACAAACAACATATCAGTTCAATACAGGGCTGGAATATGTACCCAAGTCGGTCAACTCCTTGTGTGCACACCTGTATGCCATGATGCAGAGAGTACAGGGACCTCTTCTGTGTGCACAGAAGCTGCAGGAGGGGCAAGGGACTGATGTCCACTGGGCCCCTCCTCATGGCAGGCAATGGGGAGAAGTCAAGGTGGACTTACCGTCCTGGGAATTCACTTTGGTCTCAGGAGGTGACTCAGTGAACTTCAGCAGGGGGGATCTTGACCTCTGAATGGGGGGAAAAGTGGAGTCGCTGAAAAGTAGGGTGTCCTTGCTCCCTGTCAAGTACAAAAGGGAAGGCAGACACATTACATCACCTGCAGAATGGTGGTTCCAACAGACTGACTGGGGAAGTACAGCACCTTCTCAACGGTAGGCAGCAGGTGAAAGGGAAAGGCAGTAGGTCCTTTCTGGAGTGTGAGACAGAGCCATGAGTCTCGGCAAACTGTCTACGAGCCCTGAGACTCTGCTTAGGACAAGGCCACCCACAAATGTGACTGTTAAGGGCCAGTCTCTCGTCAGCTAAAGACTGAGCAGATCTGAGGAGGGTGAGACAATGACAATGATAACAGCAGAAGGAGGTGCTACTACTTAGAGCCTCTCTACTTGGTGCCCTCTCTGAACCTCAGTGCCCTCATCTGTAAAAGGAAGAACAAATGACAGCATCCACCTCACTGGGTGGTGTGATGAAATGGACTGATTCACAAAAGCACTTGAGCATTTCATCAACACTCAATAAGTGTCACCTCCTGGAATAACGGCAGTGTAGACAGTACACACTGCCTCTGATTTATTTTTTTTAAAGATTTATTTATTTATTTATACAAGCACTGGGTGCAGCCAGAAGTGCGGGAAGGTGAGAAGATTCACCAGAGCCAGAGTGGGGAGCAGAACAGGCAGACTGATGAAATACACTGCTGAGGGGAGCAGCGGGCACGGCAGGAGAGGTCTGCACGCCATGTGGGACCCTTACCGGGCGGCCAGGAATTGAACTGGCGCTGCAGAAGCTGCGGGCAGCTTCGCAGCCCAGCACTCAACCACTGCGCCACCAGGGGAGGCTCCTGCCTCTGATTTAATCTACCCTACTCACTTAGAATGAATAAAACCTCTGTCCGAAGTCTGGGAGTATTAGCACAGCTAAACTTTCACTTAGAACAGACCAGCCAAACTCTTCTCAATTTTCCCTTTTCATATGAAGTCCCTGAGTGGGTAGAGAAAGCCCGAGGCAAAAAGAAAGAGGAGAAGAAAGACCTTACAACTCTGTTTCAAGACAATGGGGTTATGGAGGTGAGGCTTGGGGAAGGGGAGCTTGGAAGCCCAAGATGATGAACACGGATACACAGATACGAGACACACGGACATTTAGTGGTGCCGCCCGCCCCCCCGCTCCCTGGGTTGGGTGACCCCACCAGATTCCATCCCCAGCTTTGTCCAGGAGGACTTGCAATTTTCCTAGTAGGAAATCATCTTCCCAAATGCGACACCCAGTGGGCCAAGGGCCAGCCCATGCTCTCCCCTGAGCTGTCTGACCTTGAACAAGGCAAAACATTAGATGTCTCTGGGGCTTGCATCAGAACTTCCAAAGTTATATGATTTTAGTCAGTTTCAGGCTCAGCAGAGAGCAGGCTGCTCTTTACATAAAGATGCCCGCTGCTCCTTAGACAATCAGGTGGTCATTGGATGGTTCTTCTGCATCCTTTTGCATTGTAATACTGTCTTCCTGGTTGACCAAGTCCAGTCAGTTTCCAAGACTGGAAACTCAGTTTCCAAGACTGAGCGTAGTAGAGAGTTGAGCGCGCAACAGGCACTTAGTCCATTTTGACAGACTCACACATTCTTGGGCATCCTACTGCCCCCTGCATGGGCAGCTCCAGGCAGATGGGGTGTTTTTAGAAGCCACAGCACTGTGGTTTCTCTGCTGAGAGTCATCCCAGAAGAATGGAAATCTGTTAGGAGTCCACCCTGAAGGTTTCCACTTGCATAACTACTGTCTCATGGGAATAAAAATCCAGAAATGTCTAAGGGTCACTGCTTGAAGGTTTCCCAAAGAGAAATGCTGACCTACAGCATGGAATACTGCTGAGGCCTTTGACATGATGTCATCACCATTGGGCAACCCTTTGTGTTGTAGAGGTACAATCTGGAAACACCTCCAGGGATTACAGGCAACCTGAAGAGCTATGCCTGGGGGTGGGCTGCTTTGGTTTCTCTCCACCCAGGCAACAGTTACTCTGTCAGGGACAGGACTGCACTTCTCTATCCATCTTCCTCTGACAGGTAAGGCGGCAGCTCTCTAGCCTTAAGGGGACCCAGTGAGAGACAAGCTCAGCCACCTCTGTGTCCCAATGGAACTTCCACATCTTCTCTGCCCTGGTGGCTAAAGAATCAGTTATGGGCAGAGCTGGGAGTTGGCTGCAGCCCAGTGCCAGGTCAGCCCGAGGGATGTCCTGGGCTTCCTGTCATGAGGAATTCTGTGGGGCTGAATGTCTCCACAGCTCTGTCCACTGTAGGGCACCACCACCATCAACAGCTCCTCAAAAATGCTGGTGCCATAAACTTTAAACATTTCTAAAAATCTGAACAGAAGGGGAAGGGGAGACAGAAGTCATGGCTGACCCACGGCCAGTCATGGTGGGGTTAGGGAGCAGATAAGCACCTTCCTCATATTCCTTCCTAGAGAGATTATTGCCCTATCTTCTATTTAAAAAACATTTATTTATTTATGCATACAAGAGCTGGGGTACAGGCCGGAGATGCAGGGGGTGAGAGGATCCACCAGACAGAGTGGGGAGCAGAACAGGCAGACTGATTGAAATACACTGCTGAGGGGAGCAGCAGGCGAGTCAGGAGAGGTCTGCCGTGCCATATGGGTTTCTCCCTGGCCAGCCGGGGACTGAACTTATGCTGCAGAGGCTGTGGATTGCTTCAAAGTGTGGTGCTTAACCCCTTGTGCCACCAGGGAGGCCCTACTGCCCTATCTTAAGAGAAACTGCTAAGATTTGTTCATTCTTACAAAATAGTTGAGGTTTCTAAGTTCCCAAGCCAGATGTTATCTTTGTTGAGTAAATGGATTCTAATCCGATGGGGCGCTGTCTCAGTTTCTAATCTCAGGATGGGAAGGCGAGGAGTGGGCAAGGGTGACCCACAAATGCAGCTCACAGAGATGGTCACACCAGCCCTTCCATTCAACTGGCATGGGTCTTTCTGGAAGTCCCCCTATTCCTTGTAACATGAAATTCCTCATTCCCTTCTCCAAAATGCACCCGGTACTTTCCAGACACATTTTCTTCCTTAGGCTGATGCTTGGAGAGGAGAAAGAGAATTACAGCGACAGCCTCACAGAACTAGCTCTGCTCTTGTGAGAACTGTTCCTGCCCTTCGTGCTTCTTTATCAAACACGAGCACATCCTGGAAGCCCCAGAGCCCCTCCTTGCTGTTCCCTGGGCAGGGCTCAGCAGGAGGCTGAGAGAAGGAGGCTGACAGACAGGGGACTGCACAGGGGGGTGGTCACTCCGTCCAGAGACATGTGGTCACTGAGAACCACCGTCTGGCTTCCTGGCCATGGCCCCATACCTTGCCAACATCTCAGGGACTGTTCAAAGCTCTGGAATGCACCTTGCTATGCAGATCGCTTCTCCGTGCAGGCTGTGACATTTGTCAAACTTGTCTATTTCCCAGCAAGATCACAAATTTGCCCTAACTCTATCAAACAATGTCAAGAGCTATGTACCGTTGACTGAGAGAGTGAGGAGGGAGAAGAGAGACGGAGAACAATCATACATACATCTGAGGAGGTGTGAACCTCGTCCCCTAAATCACAGTGCTGTAAACCAATGTTGCCTCAAAAATAAAAATGAAAGGAAATTGTGATTGGGGGAAAAAGTGACATCAAATCAACAAGGACGGAAGGAAGGGAGGCTCTCAGGAGGGAGGTGTCAGGTCACAGCAGGCTCAAAGTCCAAGAGTAATTCTGCCTAACAGTCCTGAAGGGCAGGCTCCTGCACCACTGTTCTCGAGAACCGCAGAGATGGCTCTGGAGTTGCAAGTCCTCTGCTCCAGTCCAACCTGCCTTGCGAACCAGTCCCAAGCTGATCTGACCTACCCCAGCACAGGCGTAGGGATGAAATGAAGACCTCAACACCTCCGAGCAAACTCTAGCGCCAGCCTCTGTGGCCCCAAGTACCTGGGGATCAGCCACCCTCCTGGGTCTCTGTTTCTTCATCTAAAACGAGGCACTCAGCCTAGATCAGGAAAGGGAAAATGTTTTCTCTCACACGTCAACCTGACTGGGAGGTGCTTCCTGGAGGCCAATGTGGAAGCCGGTTCTGAGATCAGCAGGGAAGAGCTTTGTGATCCATTAGCAAGGTCAGGTACCACCACAGGAGGGGGTGCTGTGTCATATGCACTTGGGATTTGCCATCCTTGGACTTGCTGCTCTCCACTGAGCTTCCAGGTCTAGCCCTCTATGCCTCCGCACCCTGTGCCTGGCAGCTCTGGCATCTTCGTAATTCAGCCCTTAATTATGCTCCATTGTGCTTCCGCTCATTGCTTTATGCACATGGATCTGGCTTCTGGGTTCTTGGAGGGAGCGAGGGGCATATCTGGATTGCCCAGCCCAGAACTGAACTTACAAAATGGATCCTCACAAGGCTTCAACACATGCACGGGATGATTTATCGCAGAGACACTGATCCATTCTGGACACCGGTGAATAAGAGAAAGCTGCAGTTCCCTGAAATCACTGGGACCCAGCCAGTTAGCTGAAACACTGATGTGGCTCCTACTTGGGGAGACAGACGAAGACGAGGAGGGCAGGTGCGAGAGGGGGTTGGAGACGGTGAGAGGGATGCAGGCGAGGAGGGACAAAGGCAGAACTGGCTCTTGTTCTGCTAGTCACTAGGTTAAAGGGAGACCTTAAAACAATGAGCTGACACACTATCAAGCTATCTCTAGCCACTGCAGCCTGAGTTCAATCCCTGACCAGGGAGCTGACCCACATGGCACAGCAGACCTCTCCTGTCTCTCCTGTTGCTACCTTGAGCAGTGTATTTCAGTGGATCTGCCTGTTCTGCTCTGGACTCTGTCACTGGTGAATCCTCTCACCCCCACCCCACTGGCACCTCTGGCCTACACCCCTGTTCTTGTATGCATAAATAAATAAAAATAAGTCTTTAAAAAAAAACAAAAACAAAAACAAAACAAAACAAAAAAACAGTGAGCTGACAGAGGGGACTGGTCTGATTTACACTAGAAGAACCTGCCTGGCCCCAGGCCTGTCCTGAATCTTACAACCCGAGAAAAGGGACTAAGGCCATTCTTCATTGTAATACCCTTCAGGACTGCACCGGGCAAGGTAGTGCCAAGACTTAGCTGGATCAGATGTGGGGTCCTGCCACATCCCCCCTGACCTCCCACTTCTTACCCTTTTTTTTTTTTTTAAAGATTTATTTATTTATGCATATAAGAGCTGGGGCACAGGCCAGAGATGCAGGGGGTGAGATGATTCATCAGAGACAGAGTAGGGAACAGAAGAGGCAGACTGACGGAAGTACACTGCTGAGGGGAGCAGCAGGCGAGACAGGAGAGGTCTGCTGCGCGATGTGGGCTGCTCCCTGGCTGGCTGGGCATCGAACTTGTACTGCAGAGGCTGCGGATTGCTTCATAGTGCGGTGCTTAACTCCTTGCGCCACCAAGGAGGCCCCCACTTCTTATCTAAGTGGCAGCCAGAGATTAGAACAAATATGGCATAAAATCCGTTTACCCTCAAAGTGAATTTTACCGTTTAATATCTCTTTCTACTAATTGAATTCTCTATTTCAGTGGACTACTCTAATCAGAAGTGTGCAAGGATAACAGAGAATGCATTTCTAGTTATTTACATGCAGGCATGATATTAATGCGTTGCTGATATTAGCCACAAACAGAGAGATTTCAAATAGAACATACTCCCAAATCCTATTGAAACATTGTAGCTCAGGCCTTCAGGCAGCAGAAAGAAGGAAAGAAACAATTGTTATTGCATAATAGCCATTTGCAGTCTAACCTAAACAAAACAAAACCAGAGATAGAAAATTCTCAGCATTCCATTCTGATTCCACGGCCCTCTTTTTACATAAGTTGTAGAAATAAAACATTGTGAAATTTCACTAAATCACTGGAAGAGGGAAAAATCCAACTCCAGTACACACACAGAAAAGCGTTCTGACTACACAAATAAGCGATAAATTTGCCTGACTCTGTTGCAATTCAAAGCAAAAAAGGAAAGGCCTTCAAAGAAGATAGGTTTTAACAGCATCAAATGGTGCTCGTACAAAATGGATCATTCAAACCCCAGAATGGCACTCGCCACTAATTAGTTTTGTTAGGTCTTTTGACATCACGTTCAAGGCATCTCTGCTAAAAATTCCAATTTATGAGACACACTTCCTGGCAACCTAAGGCGGTTGTTCAGATTTACATTAAGAAAAGGCGTTGCTGCGTCCCTCTAGCAATTTTCATTTCTCATACATTACAGAGAAGCAGCCACAGTATTCAAGGCTAGAGGAGACTGGTTTGTGCAGAAAGGTTAAGTAACTAAAAATATATGTACAATGTTGCTTCCAGGGAAAGAGGAGGTGGTGGAAAATGATAAATACAAGTTTCTGGAGAGTGGAAAGAGGGACTAGCTGACGGGGGTCTCGAAAAAGGGGGGTATTTTACCAAGACAAATGGGATAAATATAGTTAATTAAAGTGAGACATCAGCTTTTCCTTACAATGTGTTTACAACTGTGAAAAATTCTCCACTGCAAATTTTGATTTTTAGGCTACAGAAGATGTGGGATGGGTAAAGAGAGGAACAGTACATTGGGGTTCCAACAACTATGGGTTCTTATATTCATTTTTCAGAATGATGCTTAAATTGAACTTCTCTTTGTAAGTTCTGATATTTGCTCTTAGGATTGCTGATTAAATTGAACAAAAATTTATAAGATACATATGGACAAAAACAAAACAAACAACATTGAAAAACAATTTACCATGTTCCCCAGTTTAAAAAAATCACACACACAATTTTACAAATTTTAGTTAGCAAATCTTCACAGTTCCACAGATGAGTACTTGCATATTTATTGTATTTTTCTGATCTTCTCCCAAAATGGTGGTTTCTAAGTTTAAAACACAGATTTCTCAGCAATAATCTTCAAATTAAAAGATATTCTTTGCAAATAATGTGGGAGTTTTTTTTTTTTAAGGAAAAACAATTGCCATAAATTTCTGCTTACCTGGAAGACTCCACAAACCAGAAACTTCCAGAGTTCTTAATTTTTTCTCCAGTTCAGCCACCCGATTCCCTAGGATTCTGGAATAGGGGAGAAAATGATAGCAGATATTTACTGAAGAGTTTTATCGGTTCTCAGGGCTGTGGGCAAGCTACTTGGGAAATCTAAGTGTCCTAATTGAGAGAAAATGTTGGAGATTCAAGACACACTTATGTCAAAGACTGGTGCCAATGGACTAAACTATGTAGCTTGGGTGTGTAGAAGGCTCTGCTATCCAGGTTTGAGTGATTACACGGTATGATGCTTGTGCATTGGCGGTATCACCTAATTATACATTCTCAGAAGGTATGTTAGGGGGAAAGGCTTTGTAGACTCCACCGCCCACTCCATCAAGACACTGGGAACTACAAATCCCATGATCCCCAAAAGGAGAGTTGCGAGGACTTGAGGGCAGAGTTAAGAGGGTAAGAACTCAAAGTCAGACAACCCCTTTTATATCGGGGTAGCCCTGTAACAGGTACCCCCATTGTTAAGTAACAGACTAAGATAAAAAAATGGAATATTTGTGTCACACACACACATGTATATATACATCACACATATAATTGCGGTTAGAAGCATATATGCTCTTAAAAAGACATTTGAAAATATAAATTTAAATGAATGATTGAAAAAAACCAAAGCATTCCTATCAAGTGAACTCTCTCCCATAAAGGCAGCTCCTCTGAGCACTCAAACAATTATTCTACCATTGCCCAAATATCTTGCAAGATTTAAGCTTGGGAACTGCTAAAGATAACAATTAGTTTTGCGTATCCTCAGTCCTAGCACATCTGGATGCTCTGAGGGTGGATCTATTTTGGGGAACAACAAGTAGAACAAATAAAATGGGTGAGAATGCTTGGTCATGTTGCTTTTTCAATGAAATATCAGATGTGCCTTTTTCGATCTGACCTGTGTTTTACTGAGGACTGCAACCTTCATGCGAACATTACTGCTTAGTGGGTAATCAATAAATATATTTTATGTCATTAAATAAATACCTTATCCCTCGCATGGCTTGTAATTATCTATGGAGAGAATTTAAAAACAAGGATTTCAAACAAATTTTCAAAAGAATAATTGTAGAATAACTGGAATAATTGTACATCGTTCCACAGTGACCATGCTGACTCACTATGATAAGTAATCACAAAGGAATGTGTGTTGACTTGGGCATCAAACTTGTCTATATGCATGGAAGGACATAAATGTGGGCATAATATTTCCCCTCCTTCATTCTACACAAAATTAAATATAGTTGGGAAATGATTTGATAGTCATCTAAAACTTCAATCACTTTTCATTAGTCTGGAAATGGAAAAGCCAGTCTTTATATTATTTGGAGGATTTTCTTGGCACTGTTGTGCTAAAATGATGTGGAAATGACCTTAATAGCAAAGTTTCCATTCCTTTCAGCAGAGAAATCAGAAAGCCAGAATTGTTCTCCTGCCTCTTTTTATATCCCAGCGATAGCTACACACACCCACATACACACAAAGACATGAATATGTATGTTTCTACACACACACATATATATGGCTTTGACTTCATCCTTATTTTACCTGAATTGACTTGCATCTTAATTAATATTCCCTTTGAGTTCACAGAAAACTCTTTGACGTTACTATATGTGGTTTTCTTCATCTAGGTACTGAGAGTTTGTCTTCTTTTCCTTAAGTCTTAAATTCTGCATAGTCTTTATCAATTACTTTCCTTTTTCACTTTGTTTGTTGGGTCTGTTCTGCTTTCATGTCCCTGACCCTTCAATAAACACCATTCTTTGTAATCTCGCTTTCAATATTTTGCTCAGACCTTCTGATCCAAGCTCCCTTTTCACCAGCTGATGGGTTTGAGATGCAATCACAGTGGTGCTCAAGTTGATGCCTGTTTCTTAACGAGATCAGATCATCTGCTTGTGGCTGCCTTTTGGAAACAAAAGATAAGGCTTAACTCTTCTATGTACACTGAAGGATGTCATCAGGGCAACGTTCAAAGGCGTGGTGAAGAGACCTTTGATGGTAGTTTTCTGATGTCCCTGGATAATGCAGCCATCTCTCCCAGAAATGGACTGAGGTGGATTTGCTGGTGACCCCCACAATCCACTCTCAGGGACCTGGCCTAAGTTTGCTAGTGGTGACTGCCTTCATTTTTTACTTGAAACAGAGGCAAATGAAGCACACTAGAGGTGAGAAATCGACCCCACAGCAATTTTGCCAGCAGTAATAGTAACAATAACACCATCCATTACAATTGCTACTATGCAACTATTAGCACAAACAGCAAAAGGAATCTCCCTGAGTCTGGGATATGAGTCAGAGCTCACACCGAACACTGAGCACTCTTGCATGATCGCAATAGACCTGACAACAATCCTGCAGCGTATGTTACATTATCATCCTCCTTTTACACCGGTGGACTCTAAGAAACAGAGAGGTTAAGCAACTTGCCCCAGGACACCCAGTTCATCTCAAAGCTCTATCTTTTCCCAACCCCCAGCGCTCCAGCCCACTATACTCTACTTTCATGAGGAAACAGAGGCATGGAAGTTAGTCGATTTGACCCAAATCACATGCTGGACCTCAAGTGGCAGAGTCCAGATGTAAACCTATGCCGCAATTTACCTCTGAAATTTATGCATGCTCTTAACCAGGACCCTATAATGGCACTTTAAAAAACAAGCTTCTACTGCCTGCAGCACACACTTGTTAAATACCATTTATATGGAAATATGGTAGTACCTACAGCTGACCGGCAAAACATAACCCAAGATGCTTCAAAATGACCGAGCGGAGCCTCCTGATTGCCATCGCACTGCCAGAACCTGCCAGGTGATTCACTGAATGTGGTGCAGCATAGCTGAGGAGAGGAGAGGACTATTTGATTCTCATGGTTGGCAATATGCATAGGTGGAGAAGGTAGAAGTAGAAACACGGTGAATTCAATTCAGCTTGACCAGTTCAACAATTATTGAGATTATAGGAGATGATGAAGAGACACCGTCCTTGAATTTGAGAGACTAAAAGCGTGGTGGGAGACAGACAGCGGTATACACACATATGGTGGCACTGGGAACTCTAATGATCTTTTAATAAAAAGATTTTAATAGTGGTTCTATGCCAGAACAACCCTCACTCTAAATGACCTTCTCAGTCCCTTACCACACCGGGAGACAGCGCTAAGGACCTCGATGAAGAAAACCACCTACAGTAACATCAAAAAATGTTCTGTGAACTCAAAGGGAATATTAATTAAGATGGAAGTCAGTTCAGGCAAAATAAGGATGAATTCGAAAGCTAAATATACATAAGTAAATTTTTAATTAATAAATTTATCAATAATCATCAATACAAATTACTTATTCTGTACTAGAGGTTACGCTAAGCACTTCCCGGAGATTATCTCCTTCAGTCCCTTACACCAACCAGTGAGGCAGCTTTTAGTATTCTTATTTTGTAGATGAGGAAAGAGAGACTCAGAGAGGTCAAGGAACTTTCCCCAGGTCACACAGCAGTAAGCAGAGGGGCGGGAATGCAACCTGGACCTGGAAATACACACGTGCTTCAGCAGCAGTAGAGAACGGAAGTGAGGAGTAAATTAAAGATGGGCCCAGAGAGGCCGTGGGACCCAGACCACGAGCTGCCATATTGAGAAGGTTCAGACTTGCCTACATCGGCAATGGGGAGAAACAGAAGGACTTTATGCAGAGAGGCAGCCTCACACAGATTAAGCATTCTGGATGCAGTTGAGAATGGGCTGGAAGGACTCTGGGTAGTAGCAGAAAGACCATTTAGAAGGGCATCATGCAAAGCGATGATGATAGTGGCCCAGAACAAGTCAGTGAGCTGTGCGGAAGCCAAAGAATGGGGCAATAATGATGAGGTAGGTGAGCTGAAGTACCTACCAGATAGCCAGAGGACATAGGGGAGAAAGGAACGAAATGGAAATATCTAGAGGTGCAAAGATGACGTGTGGGCCGGGGAGCGGGTCTATTCAACAACAGAGGGTGAGAAGGGGGAAGAACAGGGACTAGTGGACCTTCCGTGGAAGCAAGAAAGGACTGCAGAGCACATGCAGGGTGGGTAAGGAGGGAGGGGCAGGGCAAGGGGGGCCCTGAAAGCCACAGGGAGAGCGTGTTCTTGGTGGGACGGTGTGGTTAACGTTATCTTATTCTAGAAAGTGGGCATAGAGGACAAAAGAGGCTGCTAGGAAGACATGCCAGTTCCTTGAGAGAGATGCTTCAGGACAGTGGAAGGGGAGAATCCAGAATCCAAGTGACAGGGTGGAGACAAAGCCGAGCATGAAACAGTGGAGCGGTGAGTGTAGATGACTCTTCAAGCAGTTTAGCCGGGAACAGGAGGAGACAGCTCGACAGTGGCTTGGGGCATAAACAAGCTTGAGAGAGGGCTTCTGTGGTAGGATGTAGGGCGGGGGAAGAGTTTAACATCAAGTTTCTATTTAGCGATGGTGTGTTTCAGGATAGGGTGGATTTGAGCCTATGTCCAGGTTTAGGAAAATCCTCAAAACGTCAGGCCTCTGGATGGGTTTTCAGCAGTAGTTTCTAGCAATAACAACAGCCCAGGGGCCAGTGAAAACAGAACTAACTCTGGATCTGGCCACCATAAGGCCTCTGTCCTGGCCCCCTGGACCACACAGGGAGGTGGCTGTGGCTCTATACACACTTGGGGACAACCTGGCCCCCCCCACCTGTACCCCAGGGGGCTGCTTTTTGATCTCTGCTCTGACCCTTGACAGCTCATATGTTGCTACCAACATCTTGAACGTCCAGGCTGTTTACTTCTGGCTGGGGAAGAGGAAGGGCAGTGAACAGTTCCAGGCACAGCAGGAAAGGCAGCAAAAGGCCAATATGCACTGATGATCCTCCCCCACAACCAGCACCAGCACCAGCAGCAAAGTGATTGTGTGTTGGGAGCAACTGGAGAACGAAACGTGGCATTCAGTGAACTTGAACAACTGCCTCTTCTCCAAATGCTCTTCCATCTGTTGATAAGACAAGCGAACCTCATCCCTTCTTCAGCAGTAACCAGACAACTGCCAACTCTCTGGCAACAAGTTTCTCAAGCAAAATGCCTATTAATTGAACATCCTCTCAAAATGTCAGGTTTATTCATCGATTCTTCAAGATGGCTCCCATTGGGCCTTGTCAAGGTTGGGGCTGGGTTGGGGGAGGGGGTCTGTCAGGCGGTGGGAAGCCAGTAGGGGGAGCACACGCCTGCACAACGGACTACCTCACTCCTGCTGACACGCTCCACCCAAACACCGATCTTCTATTCTTTTAGCTACAAAACGTTAAATCACAGGGATGATGGCAGCGGACCACCCTATTTTGAGCCCCCTACCCATGTGTTAGCTAAATAGTTTAAGTGCCCCCAGTAAAACATCAGTTGCAAATATGAAACTTAAGACCTTCTAAGTATGAAAAGTGGCACATTTGGCATTTTATGTAGTGATAGGAAGCAATCTTCAGGATCTATTCTATGAGAAAAAAGCAAGGGGCAGAAGAGTATAAAACTGCATATGTGTGAATATTAGCTACCATTTGTGAAAAAAGAAAAAGACAAGAGTATCTGTATTTACGGGGGTCTGAGTGTTGTGTGTGCATACCGATGTGTGTGTGCTGTGGACAGATGCACCCTTGGGAAGCAGACACAAAAAAATGAGGACTGGTGGTTTCTCCTAGGGAGGGATTTGGGTGGTTGAGAGACAATAATAGTTTGGAGATACACTGTTTAACCTTAAACCATGAGATGCTTCAACATTGTTAAATACTAGTTACAAATGGAAAGGCACAAGAACATAAAAATAAACCTGGCAAAATGAAAATGTGGATCTTTCTCAGGAGAGGCCCCTGACTCCTGGGAATGCAGGCAGGAGCTGTAGTAGGTGAGCACGTTAGGGGAGCCATCTGTCAGGCCAACAGGGTTGTGGATACTGGGGTCCGGAGGCATTGGGGCCCAACCCGCCTTGCAGAGGTCTGTGATATGAGCAGAATTACAGCAGGCAGGTGGGTGTTGGGAGCCTGGGTAGTAGCCGGGGAGGTGGGGCTGAGGTCTGACGAGGCTAGGTGGATGGAAGATGGTCTTCCCAAGGAAGAGGTGTTGCTTTGGAGGGAAGAAAACCAAAGGGCAGATGGGCGAGGTGCAGTGAGCAAGTGCTGGGAGTAGGCATAGAACAGGCTCAGGCATGGAAGCCACAAGTGAAATGATCATTTGGACGTGAGTGTTAAGGGAACAGGAACAAAGGGGTACACCATGACCCGATCACCAACTCATCACATAATCACAAGTGTCCACAGGGTCCAGCACTGTCCTGGGCGCTGGGATGTTCTGGCCCAGGAAAAGCTAAAACTCTAGTGCTATGAAGGTTTGTCAAATCTGGATATTAAGTTGCTGGGCAGAAGCCATTAAATATTCTTCAAATGATGATTTTAATGGCTGCATAATGTTCTATCTTATGGATTTACAATAATCCTAATCATCTTAAATTAAAAAAGACACTTGAGCTGTTTCCAACTTCTTATAAATGAATCCACCTTAGGGTGTCATTCTGATATTTTTCTTTAGGGATCAACTCCTAGAAGCAGACCATCTGGGTTAAAGGGCGCATGCATTTTAAAGTCTCTTAAAATGCACTAAGAAGGCATGGTCCAGACTTGAGACTCATTGAATTTGACTAGTAGAAAGGATATTGGGGCAACTGTCACCCTATAGTTGGAAATGTGGGTCTTGCTTGAGGGTTGATGAGGACAAGAATTCTGAGAAGAGTCTGCAGAGAACAAGAGGGAAAGACAGAGGCATGGAATGAGATCTCCCAGCTGGGATAAGAGAAGTTGGAGACCTCAAAGAAAAGAGGAGGTCAAGGATGGGGAAAATAGGAAGAGGAAGGTAAAGGGATGAGACAGGAGAAAACTGAAGAAGTCCAAGAAGAAGGATTTCCAAGCAGAAATTGGGATAAAGAGAAAATATAGGAGAAAGAGACTCATAGAGCATGGCTTGGGGTACTAGTGACCTTCAAATGAAGATCTCTGTGGAATATTCTGGAAGAGGTTGTGGTCAGCATTAAAGCAGAGGTGATCTCCTTTTCCTGCACAAGGCATCATGGGGGGTGAGGAAAGCTTGCTAAAATCCAGATTCCTGACCTTCCTCAGGATCCCTTCCCCTTGTCAAGTACCCCTCCTAACACACTTTGAGGGGCTGTTGAATAAATAGAGCTCAACTCCTTGACCAGAAGCTTGGAGGTGAGTGGGATTCTTGGGAGACTACAGAGTGAAGGGAAGGCTCAGGGGTTCAGGAAGACCTGTGAGGTCTCTGGGGGAAGGGGTGGAAGTTGAAGAGGGGTGAAAGGCGGTCGCAGTGGAGCAAGGCCCCAGGAGAAGAAGGTGGGTGGACACACAGGCTGATGGGCCCTGGCATGTTTTCTGGAGACAGTGGGGAGAGATTTTTAGGGGAGCAGAAAGGGGAGCACTGATTTTAGGGGAGCAGCAAGTCTTGGGGCCTCTGTTTGCTCAGTCAAGGAGGGGCTGAGGGCTCCTGCTGAGAACAGTCTAGGGTTTAGAAGACCAGAGAAGGTAGGAAAGAGTTGCCGTTGGTGCTTTATAGGGAGTCAATGAAAACAAAGAAGACTCCTGGGGACCAATTCTGGCTGTGGGTTCTGCCTGAATAAGACAGACCCTGTACCTATTCTGGGGAGATTCCCATTCCGTGTTCCTCCCCTGTGAAGCATCTGCATTTCAGCATCTGGCTGTTTCATTCCTTGGTGAAGACTTCTTTTAAAAGAATTTTAAAAACTTCTTCTGTCAATAAATTACCCTTGTCATCCCTTTGAGATTGCCAGCCTCCCTCCACCGCTCTCGGCTTTCTTTTATATATATCTTAATCTCCTGCGCCATCTTCCTTTCACTGCCGTTTCTCTTTTTTCTATTTTGTTTTTACAATACTCTCAATCATTTTCCAGTTGCCTCTCTCCACATGCCCCTGCCTCGCCAGGCCTCCCCCCTCCCTGACCCGGCTCCTTCTGAACCTGCTGGCTTCTTCCACCCTTTTATCCTGGGCACAGCTCTTGCCAGCAGACCAGCTACATAATTTGCAGGACTCAGAGCAAAATGGAAATGCAGGGCTCCCTTGTTTAAAAATAAATTTTTAAAATTATTTGATGTAAGAATTTCAAGCTGGCAACAGCAGAGCTCAGACCAGAGCAGGCTGTCTGAGCAGGGCACCCTGAGCGCCTACGTGGCAGGCTCACCCACCGAGCTGGCCCTGTTGCAATGTTTGTTGCTTTAATCTACTGTTTATTCACCAGTTTTTGAACATTTTCAATTTTGCTTCTGTTTTCTGTGCTGCTTTCATCTACTTTACCTTGCTTGATTTTGCCCCACAGTCAACATGATTATAAAAACCAAATAAGATATCCTGTTTTAATGAATGCAGTGGTCCTTTTCACCAAATTTTTTTTTTTTTTTTTTGGCCAAATTTGGAGGAATGATAGGAGGAATGATAGATAGGAGACTCCCTTCTAGGCCCAACTGCTGCTGGATGTTTGGGTGCTCTTGGCTTGCTGAGCCCCTCAAAGTCATGCCATTTGGTTATAAGAGCACTCGGGAGGTGGGTCCCTGCAAGAAGACCTGAGGAGAGGTAGTTCCCAGCTGATTATGCCACTGAAAATGCCCTCATATAAATAAGCATTGCTCAGGGAGTGGCTTGAGTAAGCATTTGATAGTAATGGCTATTCAACAGCAATAGCCAAAGTACTGACGTAGTAGAGGAGTACTGATCTGGAACCTCCCAGACTGGAGGGTTTCCAGCTCCTTCCCTTTGTGTCTGTATTTCCACCTGGTGGCGACTCACGGGCCCTTCTCTCCCACCCAACCAGTGCCTAAAGGTTCACCACTTACTTGTTGGTCTGTCTCTGGTGCTGGATGACCATGTTCTTCTCATGGATCGTCTCCAAAAGGGCCGTGGCTAGAGATTTCAGATCCGAAATGGACTGCGGTGTAGCCGGGAGGCTGCATCCCTGATCCTCGGATAATAGCTCCTGAACTAGGTGGGACACAAAATTTACGACTCAGTCTCCAGTCTTTCTGGAACACTGGAATGCAAAGCGATGTCATTACTTCCTGAATAATGAAGCTGGGATGGGTTCCCAGCCTCTGAATGCTAATCTATTGTATTGACAAGTTCACTTCAAGTTTAAAAGTAAAACAAAATAGAATTCAGTGTGAGGTTAACCAATGGGGTCCTCATAGACTTTTATCAACAGTTTTTTAAAAGGATAACAATCTTAATATTTGTGTGGTATTTCACACTTTCAAATTAACTCGTTTAAGACTTAAAAAAAAAAACACCACCTGGGAAATAGTATTTATTTCAGTTTCATGGACAGGAATGCAAGGTGCTAAAAACACTGGCTGTTTTGCAAATACCAGTGAGTAGTCCTGAACTCCAGGCTCTGAATCAGGGTCCTTCATGGAGTGGCACACAGGATGGGAAGCAAGATGACTTAGGGGATTACTTAAACTACAAAATATATTTTACATATGCATATTTGCAGAAAAGACAGATAAACTAAGTGGATAACACAAATAAGACAGGACCACCTGCATACCTACTGATGGAAAAAAGACACAATGTTAGTCTCTCACTGTATCTTTGAACCCCATTTCCTCTATTTATAAGATACACAAATTCACACACCTTTCTCTCCTAAAACATAAAATGTAACAGTTGCTCAGCAATCCATGTATTGGCATCTAAGAATTTATTTATTAAGACTAGATATTACTACTGGGTATTTATGTTGTTTCCAACCTTTTGGTTAGTTGTTTGTTTTAGTTATACCTAATATGGAAGAACTTACTTGAAGCAAAATGTTTGCATATGTCTGTAATTCTTTCTTGCTGGTTCAAAGGGAGTCAGTTTAAGGTTTTTCATAACAGGTAGCCAAATGGTTACCTAGCAAGGCTGTCTACATGTATGATCTGCTGTGGGTGGCTAAGTGTGGCTGGCACTCCCCAGTGTGACATGGGGACTCGACATTCAAAGATGCTTGGCAATGAAGCGTATCTAGAGAACTTAACTTAGTTGGGGGACTTCTCCATTTTTAGAGTATTGTAGTTTTCTTTTAAGAAACAATTCTAGGGTATCCTTTCTTGTTGAGTGGAAAAAAGAAGTTGCTGGGGAAAGTGCCCTGGTTATTAGGTTGGCTGGCAATTCAGCACTTTCTTCAAGCCTTTCTAGTTCTGATGAAGACTTCTGCATGAGCCTCGCTGGCCTGCCCAGGGCCAGCTGAGCATGTTCAACCTGACACTTCCATTCAGAACTGCATTCCCAAATATTAAGTGTCAGAAGCGAGCTCTCTGCTATTTATTCCCCTGGACTGTTCCTGGAAGATCATTATTTTTCATTGAAATCGACAAGAAGGAGGAACAAAATTGCGATCAATAAAAGCTTCTTTGAAAAAGGCACATGTTCTATGAAAAAATGATTTCAGCAGCTCTGAGACTTTTCTATTCCGATCATAGAGGCCAGGAAAAGGAGAAACTCGATGAGGCTGAAACATCTACTGAGATGCTAAAATGATGACTGGGGAAGGAGAGAACATTCTTGAAAGGAGAGCATGATACCAGGGTATAGCTAGAAAGGGGTCCGGTCACTAGGAAATCCTCTAATGCAGCAGTGCTCAAGGCAGGGTCCTGGAAGCCTAATAGCATCACCTGGGAACTTTGAGAAATTCATCTTCTCCACACCCCAGACTTACTCAATGAGAAACTCTGGGGTGGGGTGCAGTCATCTGCTTTAAACAGTCCTCCAGGCGAGTCTGATGCAGGTAGAAGTTTGGGAATCCCTGTCCTAAGGGTCGCCTGTGTTCCCAACGCACAAAAAGAGCAGGTTGCATGAGATGTGGACCCACAGCTCTGGCCTTCTCTACTCCTAAGTGGTCTCTCCTGGAGAGCAAACGTGTGAGTTCCTACCTTGCTTTGCAGAGAGGACTCCCGTCAAAGCACTGCTGCTGGATTTACCCTGGCCCTTGGAGTTTTTCCGTCTCTCGAGAGCATTCTGAAGCAGCATTGGGAGAAAATCAAGACGGTAGTCAGAAAAGTCAATAATGGAAAAACACGCAGTCTGGGTTGGCGCATCCTCCCACCCAGCACACAGGAACCCCCGACAAACTCCAAACGCCGGCCTGATGTTCAGAATTCTGAGTCCCAGGCAAAAAGTCACAATTTTTATGGACACAGTAAAGAGTCTGTTTTTTTTTTTCTCTTAAGTTGGTGCCTAGCAACATGACAGCAATGATAGTCTCCTATACAAAAGGTACTTGAAGCTCAATTAAATCAAATCTGCACTAAATTAAATCAAATCTGGAGAACTCACTCTAATTTGTGAAGTCACTAGTTATGGAAACCCTTTTCAAATAGACAAGAGATGCAGAATGGGTTTCCTTTCCTGGACCCATGCCAAAAGATCGTTAGTGATATTTGGAAGGATTCTGTGGCTGGACTGGGAAATAAGCCCCTATCAATTAGTGGCACGTGGACACAGGATCAGGAAGCACATATGTGCCACTTAAGTGTCACTCCTGACACAGACCCTCACATGAAAAACGATGTGTGTGGTATAGTCAGTGTCTGGGAGACAGAACTGAGTTAAGTGTTGTTAGATGAATGCGTGCATATATTTTGTCAAACTAAGGATGAATTACACAATCTGAAATGCCGTATTCTTTAGCTGCATCTGTGTAAGTTTGGTGTCAAGTAAAGGGTGGCCCCACAGAAGGGAGAGGAACAACAGCACAGAGACTTCTGAGAAAAAAGCCAGAACAGCAAGAAGGCGCTCCCCAGCACCAAGCCTGCTGGAAAACTTCACCCTCAGGAAGAGAAATCAATCTATTTTCAAAGCAGAGAAACCCAGGAGATTTTTCTAATTATAAAACTTACAACTAACATCTGCAGAAATAGATATTATCAAACTAATGGTGCTGGAATTAGACTAAATAACAGTGGGGAGAATTTTAACATTCTGTCCTTTCAGTGTGACGTGAACATTATCATTTAGATTGTGATTTCCCCATCTTTGTATCTTCATCACTCGGAAACCATTTTCTTATGGATGATTATGAGACAAATAGCATCTGATGACAGAACAGTTTCCAGAAAAACTGGATAAAGAACCTCATTTCATACCGACCGAGGAGGCTGTAAAGGGACCACGTCTAGTGCCTGGTGGCCTCTGCCTGCCCCGGTCAGGTGACAGCACTGGACGAGCTTTTGTGAAAGCAGTTTGGTTTTGTTTGTTGTTTGGGGGTTAATTCTCATTGCTCTGTCACTGAAAGCTCTTATTGGACTTTATGGGGGGGGGGCAGCAAGCACTAAACTATCTTTGGCACATAAAAGAGAATTAAAATAGAATGACATTTAGATGTACAAGTGTGAATCATCCCCATCCTTGGTGTGATCTTGCTACCTTGTATTTGGCAATGTTAGATTTCAGGAGGCTGACCTCTTCTTGAAGTTGTTTTAATCTTTCTTGAAGATACCTGGAAAAGAATATAGATGACCAGAAAGTGTCTGGTGGCAAAATAGAAAACATATACTCGAGGACAGGAAGGAACAAATGAAAATCATATGCCCAAAGAGCCGTCTTTCCCACGAGGTGCTTCCTCCCCACCAAAAGGAAGAGGAGGAAAAAACACATCCTTGCGACCTCTTCTTAAGTGGATGTGAGATCAAGGTCAAATGTGCCCAAATCACACAACCCCACTTTAGAGCAGGCCTCTGCAGAGAGCCCCTGAGGGACAGCAACACAGTTTTCGCATAATTCTCATTAAGATGATTCCACTGGGAAGTGAGTCAGGAAGAGGCGACACCAGACATAACATTAAGTTAGACACATACACACGCTGAAATCTGCCTCGGGGAAAAGAAACAGCTAAGGGAATTTCTCAATTTATTTTCTTACTCTTTTTCCTCTCTTTGAGAGCAATAACAAGCAGCTTCCCTAGGCATCAGGCAAGGGACGCTTCTTTTCTTACTTTTACAACTAAGTCCCGATGTTAATATCATCCGCTGGAGGCGTGACTTGCCCTGCATTGTGAGCCAGTTTCCTCTAATGTCTGCAGGGCTGTACATAACTCCCGGCCTGGAAGTCGATGGTGGGGGGGCCAGCGCTCCCCACACGCACAGGCATGAACCTGGTCCCTCACCTGTTCTCCATACACAGGGCGTCCACGTCGATAATCCGGTTCTCGTGTCCACCCAGGATGTGGTTGAGTTCCTGGTTTAGCCTCTCCACCTTGTCCTGGTAGGAACACCGCTCTTCCTTGACATCCTGAAGCTCATCCACAGAGGCTTGCAGGTCATGCTCCAGAGACTCAATCTGAAACCAGAGAAAGTTCCCTTACTCAAGATGTTCTTCAGACGTCGGCTTTATGGCCAGAGATGGAGACTTCTGCTTGGTTGGCTGACTTTTAGAGAGCTTATTAATACCACCCGCATGCTATAAAACCATAAGCGCCTCACACAGGGATATAAAAAAAGCTAAAAGCAAAGGGATGACTTCCAGCCAGACACTTACTATATCTAAGATGGGATGGGAGCAGCAGCTCGGAAGAACTGAGCCAGCCCCTTACCACCTACTGCCACATGCCCTAAGGCCGGAGGCGTGGAGGGGCAGAACTGGGCACATCTCTGAGTCTTCTGCAGACACACTTTTGCCAAGTCCTTGAGACCCAGAACTCTTGTTCTGCTCTTCAAAACCAATTAGTAAGAGAAGGAAAATGAAGTCGAGGCTTTCTTAGCTGTTCCCTAACTAGAACTCTGCACCCACTGCGATTTTGCCAACAAAGCATCGCTCAGCATTTCAGCGGAAACTTGCAAATGAAGGCCAGTTTGTCACATTTTGCTCTTTTCCTGTCTGGCCTGGTTAAGGGTAAGTTTCTTGTGCTCAGAACAATGGCATTCAAAGAGAATAGACCTGCTGGAAGCCAGAAACACAGGCAGCTTGGGAAGCTGTTGGGGTCCGGAGGAGTAAAATCATTCCTTTCATCTTTTTCCTCCTCTGATGCACATCGCTGCCACCCCACGCTCCCTGAGAAAGGGGCACAGAGTACTCCTTTACTCTTAACAGACGTGAGCAGTCACCTGTTCCTTGGCTCTCTCCAGTTGCTGGACCAGATCTTCACGTTCATGAGCTGCAAAGTGTCGAGTGCCAACTTCTTCGTCTCCGAGCCTCTGTTTGGCAATTGTCATCCTCAAGAGCTGCATTTTCCATTAGTAGAAAAAGAAAAAATAAAGTGTGTGTTAAAATGAACAGATCCAAATACAAACCCAAGGAAGCTAGGCAGAAAGTTTTGTAAGATAAGATTTTTCAAGAAATACCAGGGAAAGGCACAAGACAAATTTATTGCAAATATGATGATTAATTTTTTTTTTAATTTCAGGATCCTTTACTTCTCCATTAATTTTAGGGTATGTGCTTTTTTTAAAAAAATATTTTTTTCACCCTCCACCAAACCACCCATGCCCGTACCCCCTTTGCCTCCCTCCACTGTTTCTCTTCTCTCCCCCATTCCCTCTGATAACCATTATATTATTTTTGCTGAGTTCAAGATTTATTCCTACTATTCTTTGTACATGGGTTTTTTGGGGTATTTGTATTCCACAGATGAGTGAATCATCCACTATCTGTCTTTTGCTTTTTGACTTACTTCACTCACACAATCACCCTTCAACAGACAAATAGAGAAATTGTGGAACAGATAGTCAATGGAGTACTACACAGCGGTGAAGAATGATGAAATGGTGGCATTTGGGACAAATGGATGGATGGAATGTAAGGGAAATTTTTTTGAATAATCAGGAAACAAACTCAAGGAATCCTTTAAACTTAGCAAAGATTAAAAACTGTAACACAATGCTGGGAAGGCTTCTGTATTTGTAGTTTTGTCTACCTCATGCTTATTTCTAAACTCAACATCAATACTTGGGTTTTTCTGCATCACATGTGGACTTGTATGGATGAGTGTGGCATTGCAAAGAAACATGAGCCATTGGACAACCATGTACCTAGCTGGGGTTGAACAAGGCCACCTCAGCTCAGCTCTCATAGTGTAAGCAAGTGATCTTTTCATGGTCGACGTAGTGCCATAGTTTTCACATTTTTGTGTTTTTTGCTAATGCTTTGTTGAGCTATATCAAATGGCCCCATGCATAGTGCTGATGTGTTATCTGGTGTTCCTAAGGGAACGAAGGCTGTGGCATGTCTTACAGAGAAAACACGTGTTCGAAAAGCTTCTTGAACGTGTGAGTTACAGTGCTATTGGTGATGAGACTCGAGATGACTCAAGCTTAAACAGAAACAAAGGAAAAAAAAAAACAGGGTATATATTGATAAGTTGACAAAAATCTTTGTGACCAGAAGCTCACAGGAAACTAACCTGTATTTCCCCTAGGAGCAGTGTGATTCAGTATTTGCAAATTCAGCTTCACGTGGCTCTAGAAAACATAACTACAGCAAATATCGAGGCCGGCTGTATTCAGGGGGATTGGGAGTGGATGGCAGAATTGCTTCATTCAATGGGAAGCTGATGTGTGAAAACATTGTTCACGTCACACAATTTGTGGGTTGGGGCTTTATAACACCAAGTGGATATACAGAAAGACAAACAGCAAACGAAGGAAGAAACATTTTTCAGATCAAAGGGACTAGAAATAAGAAGGCTCGTTGTGTCTTTTCTGGGATGAGGGAAAAGGAGGCTTTTGACATGTTATGGAAGCAGGGTACTTGATATGTGAAAAGCCAGACTGACAGCCTGAACTTTAAGTAATAAAACACCACTGTGGTTTCCCATTCACAGCCCGCTTCGCTGAACACTTAATTTAGAATCACACAATTATGTTTGCTTAATGCCAATTAATTATTAAACATGTTTATTGAGGTCTGACAGCCATCTACGAGAGTCATCTTTTATATACTGGATGCCTGTTAAGCTTCAACAAATATGTTAACAATCATTTGGTGTGTAATGTGCATACACTTTTGACTATTAAATCGCAGGGCTGGAGGAAACATTAATTTTTATTAATTTATTTAAATTTAATTACGTCTTTATTTTTATAATACCTAACACAATGTAAATGCTATGTAAGTAGTTGTTACACTATACTGTTATGGGAATAATGGCAAGAAAAAAGTTTATAAATGTTCAGTACAGATGTAGCAATCATTAGCCTAACCACATAGTAGGGATTTTTTTAAATCTGCAATTGGTTGAATGCACAGATGCAGAACCTGTGACTATAGAGGGCCACTGTATATCCGTATATATTATATTTACATATTTATATAATTTACACATATCATTTCTTTTCTCACTATCATCCCTTTTCCTCACCACTCCTTCATAACCTCCACTGGTTTTTGAAATTGTTTTGCATTATTGAATTGTCTGCTAGAAACACTGATTTTCAAAGTGTGTCCCATGTTGGTAGCAGTCAGCTCATGTGTTGGGTCTGAAACTTGAGTGAAATGAGCTGATGGACCCAACAAGGCTGCAGCAAAGGGGAAGGCAGTGCTGCCCCAGGCAAAGTTCTCCTCCTGGCCTAGCTGACAGCCCATAGGCCCGCAGGACTCCGACCCGGCTCCACCATCTGTGAGCTGTGCAGCCTTGAGCTTGCGCCTGACCTCCTCTGAGCTCAGTATCTTTCACTGCAAAAATATGACAGCACAAACAGCTTTCTCAGAAGGTTGCTGTAAACCTGGAGTGGGAGGGGGTGGAGCTGCACTGAGTTTGCATCTATTATGGGGGACTTCAAGCATATGTGTTTGGCAAAAAGGTGAGGAGGAGAAAACAGGAGGAAGAGACATGGTGAAGACAGGATGGGAGAGAAATAAAAATGTTAAAAATTGGGTGATTCTCTCCAATTCAAGGTCCCAGGCTGAGAGTGAGGTGGGAAAATGATACATTTGGGAAAATCACTCTTCACACTTAGGCATAAAATCCCCTCTCAGGAGTACCCATGACTGTGTGCTCTGAACTTCATGGGCAAGTTAAGTTAGAAAAATGGCAAATTTTTGCTATTTACATGTTGACCTGTCGATCGGCTCTTAAGGACAAGAAGATGGGTTTTCTGTAAGAATGTTAGTCCTGTAGGGCCTCCCCTGGTGGCGCAGTGGTACTGGGCTGCGAGGCTGCCCGCAGCCTCTGCAGCACCGGTTCGTTTCCCGGCCGCCGGCAAGGGTCCCACCAAAAAAAAAAAAAAAAGGATGTTAGCCTTGGAACATGAAAGGTGCTCAGTAAATGCTTGTGGAGATGCTCCCAGGAGACTCCCATGTTCCTGCTAGGCTGAGGATGCAGAGCTCTGGAGCGAAGATTATCTGTGGGCTGCAGGCAACGGGGTTGATTTCCCACCTAGGACACAGCTAGGAAGCAACCTAGGGCACTTGATGCCCTCAGACAGGGCCATCAACCCTCCGGCTTGCCTCCTGGTGCCAAGCCGCAAGTGGAGCAGTGCCCTGCCAGGCGTGCCCACGGCCACCAATAGATGCATTCAGCTGCCGATTTAGATGGAAATAAACGCTCATGAATGAATTATGGGTGTGAGTCGTCAGCTTGTGGATGAGCCGCAGCTGCAGTTGGGACGTGGCCAAGAGACGTGGCCGGGAAACCATGTGGCAAAACGGCTCTTGGGGCCCTTCCCCCTCCCTGCCAGGGGTGTCTGACTCCTGTCAAAGTCCTGCTCCCCCTCTGGTCCTCCTGAAATGTCTTGTGGTTTGCATTAATACACAAGGACTTGGGGGGAGGAAGGGCTAGCCCCCACTTCCACTAGGCTTTCGTTCCGGTAATACTGCAAGCAGTCACTATATGAGAATTATAGCCGCACCAACTATAACGAGGATTGCTCTTTTATAGCTGTAGGGTAAGGTAAAAGGTATCAGGCTTTTCTGCCCTCCCGCCATTAGGATAGATGAGGGAACCCTGTGGTCCTGAATGCATGCCTGATGGCGGGCACCTGGAGTGGGTCCACCTGGGCTGAAAGACTGGACTTTTAAGGGCAGCGTCATGGGGACGCCAGCAGCAGCAGAAGCCAAGAAAAGAAGCAGCAGAAGCAGAGAGAGAAGCAGATAAGGCCGGAGAGCCCAGATAGAGTGAAGATTTGCTGGGGGCTGGGAGGCCTGCCAGCCTCCGGCCCCCTCCAGCACCCCTGCCTGCCGTGTACCTGGTAATCCCAATAAAAGACCTGCAAAATCCACTGAGGACTCTGATTCCTCCTTTACCCGGTCTGTTGCATTAGAAAACCTGCCCTGTGTCCATTCCTGACCCTACAATAGCTTTATGGAGAGTTACATCAACAATCATTTGGTGTATCTTCACATTGTGGGGCTGGAGACCCCGAGAGGTGGAGCTGTGCAGTGTGCAGCCTGAGCAACCATCCAGAACTGTCTTGTCACCACTAAAGGAACCCCCTTGTCACATTACTGGCTGTATGTCCGACTGACCATACAGTGTCCCCAGTGCTTTTTAACTATAGGAAGCCTCTCGTTTGATGCTGCGCAACTCTAGAAGGCGGATACCTTCCTCTCCTCTGTACAGATGGGACCCCAGAGGGGTGGGCACAGAGCTGTGAGGCAAGTCTCCCTGTCCCGGGACCCAATTCAGTAGGTCACTGTAAGGGCAGGACATGGGCACAGGTGCAGGTTTTCTGATCCCATGCAGACCGGGTAAAGGAGGAGTCAGAGTCCTCAGTAGTTTTGCAGGTCTTTTATTTGGGGTTCACCAGGCATATGGCAGGCAGGGGTGCTGGCTGGGGGACTGGGAGGCTGGCAGGCCTCCCAGCCCCCAGCAAGTCTTCACTCTATCTGGGCTCTCTGGCGTTCTCTGCTTCTGCTTCGGCTTCTCCTTCAGGTTCTGCTGCTGCTGGCTGGGGCTGCTGGCGTCCCCCCGTGACGCCACCCTTAAAAGCACAGTCTTAGCTCAGCTGAATCCCATCTACCTATGCCCACACCCTATTCCAGGTGCCCGCCATCAGGCATGCATTCAGGACAAGGATCCATCATCTATCCTGATGGTGGAAGGGCAGAAAAGCCTGACATTTTCTTTACCCTACAGTCCACCCCCTCAGGGTTTTCTGCCATACAGTCTATACATATATATATATACAATTTTCTAAGCAAACAAACAATGCAGCCATGGCCCACAAAAGCAAATACATCAAATATAACAAAATACAATATAACAAAATACAACAGAACACAAATA